AAAAAAAAAAAAAAGATAGAATGTGAGACTTCCATGTCTACACACACACACACACACACACACACAACCTGCACAGTGGTCAAAAATTACCTTGTAAAACAAAAACTAGTTTCCTCCACATTTGACTTTGGAAGAGCAGTTCTGTGTACTGTTAATAGCAGGGGCACACTGCTCCTGGAGCTCGTATCATACTCTCCGCTTCGAGCTACCCGGTCTCACTTGCCAGGCAGTAGCTGTTCTATGTCTTGTTGTCATCCCCTCACATGTTTAGCACAGAAGAACTGATCTAGTACCATCAGAGTGCTGCTGGTGGGTGGGCTACATTCTCATTGTTAGCCTGTCCATCTTACTAGTTAATACAGTATTGGGAAACATCCTACAATGAGAGGGGAAGTGTTGCAGCAAAGAGCTCATTATTCTGAAGTATAAAAACTACTTCTCTGCGTCCTGACAGCCCCATTTTTTAGCCACATCCTGTTGATCTATGCTCCCTGCACAGATACATATCATCCCTTTCTTTCTTTTCAGACGGAGCTAATAGACCTGTCTACAGTAGATGTGATTCTCATCTCTAACTATCACTGCATGATGGCGCTGCCCTACATCACTGAGCACACAGGATTCACGGGCACCGTCTATGCCACCGAACCCACGGTCCAGATCGGCAGGTGAGAGCATGAGTCCTGCCCATTGGGATCCTCAGCAGTGATTGCCAACTGCTTCCTTCTGAACAGCTCACCCAAAGCACAGGCAGGAGCAGGCTGCTCTTTAGATAAAGCCACTCCTGGACTTGCCTGGAGACTGGTGTGTAGGTAGTCTTTTATATACACATACACATATATAAACTGGAAGGAGTTTGCTGAGACAGCTCCTCTGCAGATAACACTAATTAGTAGAGAAAGAGGCCACAAAGATGCAAGGCAGTGAGCTCTGAGTAAAAAAACTTAGCATATTAATGAAGAAGATGCAGTTTTATTAATTTGCTTTCACATATTCCCCACTTGATGGTTTATGTCATAATGTAAACAGAGGCAGCTTGTAGAAAACAGGGCAGAGATAAGCAATGAGCGTTACCTTGTCCCTGCCTTCGACAGCATGAAATGCAGCACCCGGAGTGTTCCATCTTCTCTTCTACCCACTCTGGGGAGGCTCTGTGGTTGCTCTCAGCCCTGACCCTGCATATGTAGTGTAAGTGACAGCTGTACGTGACTACAGAACTATTTATTGAGAAAAAAGTCATGTGGAAAAATTTAGGCCCCCCCCCACAATCTCATAGTTTGTTTTACAGTAAATTAACAAGTACTAGATGAGTTAAAATTGTCAAGATCCAAAATATAAGATCTAGGGGTGATGCAAACTCTTAAGTTGTTCTAGTGTCTTACACAGGTTCAGTGAGACGGGATGACTGAAATCAAATCTTTTCTGTGTTTAACACCCGAGGGCACGCAGTGTGTACAGGGGTGTGAGGAGAGGTCATTATAGACGCTCAGTGATAAATCAGAGGAAAAGCGAAAAATGTTTGCTGTCTGAAAAACCTAAAGCATAAGTATGGATTCCCCAGACTACCCCCAGATTGTTCTTATAGAAGCTGTAGTGAGACGGTGATGAGCCTGGGTCCCAGAGCTTAGAATGATGTCATGAGTACTTCTCCTTCAAGAGAGAAGGCTAGTCAGGCTCCAGTGGCTGGTGCCTGTAATCTGAGGATCATGGTTCAGACCTAGCCTGGGCAGGAAAATCTATAACTTTTTAAATTTTTTTTGTCAGCCATGGGGGCTTGAACTCTGGGCCTGGGTTCTATCTCTCAGCTCTTCAGCTCATGGCTAGCAATCTACCACTTGAGCCACAGCACCACTTCGGCTCTCTCTGTTTATGTGGTGCTGAGGAGTTGAACCCAGGGCCCCTTCATACAAGGCAAGCACTCTACCACTGAGCCACCTTCCCAGCCCAACTTTTTTTTTTTAATTGCCAGTCCTAGGGTTTGAACTCTGGGCCTGGCCACTGTCCCTGGGCTCCTTTGAGCACAGTGCCACTTCAGGCTTTCTCTATGATTATTTGGAGAGAGGAGTCTCACTGACTTTCCTGCCCAGGCTGGCTTTGAACCACTTTGAACCACTTAGAGCTCAGTGTCCTGAGTAGTATTTACAGGCTTGAGCCACTGGGACCTGGCCTGTAACCACTCAAAAAGTCAGAAGTGGAATTGTGGCTCAAGTGATAGAATACTAACCTTGAGGGGGAAAACATACTCAGGGACAGCACCCAGTCCCTGAGATCAAGCCTCAGAGCCTGGCCAAGAGAAAAAGTAGGGGTGGGCTTATGGCAGTATTAGGACTGAGTAAAGAAAAGAGAGGTAAAGTTTGTTCACTGTTTAGGTGCTAATAAATTTATAGCTTGCCACAATAGATAATTAGAGAGATGGAGAGATTTAAGCCAATTATGGGTCATATGTATACCAGAGTAAGAACCACAATTCAAGTTGTTGAAAATGTATTGCTAACTTCTTGATCGTCCTCTTATCTTCAAATACTTTAGCAGTTCTTGTTTCCTGGCTCCCCAGAAGTATGTGGACCTGATGTAGTCAAGTGCAGCATTTCTTAGATTTCCTTTATCATCTTAAAATGTCCTTTTAATAAGGGAGGGGGATGGAGGAAGAAGGGCAAGTCCATTTCCCTGGCAACAGTGTTACAACATGGTGGTTTTCTTTTTTCCTTTTTTTCCACTTGAAACTCAGGCTTCTCATGGAAGAGCTGGTGAATTTCATTGAAAGAGTGCCAAAGGCTCAGTCTGCCTCCTTGTGGAAGAATAAAGGAATACAGCGGTAAGGAGCAGTCCTTACCGCAGCGGCATCAGTGGCTTTAGGTGGGCAAGCACACAGATGGAAAGAAGTAGAACGGAAGAAAGGAATGAGGTGATACAAGTTTTTGGATGTAAGGCAAGTTTTACCTTGCTGAGAATGTAGTTTTCCAGCAGAGGTTTGTAAGGTGGAAAATGACAAAAACATATTTGTTTTTGGGAAAGCAGGTAGAAGTGTAGAAAAGAGAGCAGGAGACCAGCATTCAAACTGTTTGAAAAACCCAAAGATAATCACAGAGGCCTGAATTAAGGCAACAGTACAAAGGAGAAGACTAGCCTCAAAGAAGCACTATTTAGATGTGCTGTTTACATAGTGCTTTAAAAACTCAATGAGCAGCTAGGTGCCAGTGGCTCATGCCTGTAATCCTAGCTACTCAGGGCTGAGATCTGAAGATCATGGTTCAGAGCCAGCCTGGGCAGGAAACTCTGTGAGACTCTTATCTACAATAAATTACTCAAAAAAAGCCAAAGGTGGCACTGTGGATCAAGCGGTAGAGTGCTTGCCTTCAGCAAAAGAAGCTCAGGGACAGCGCCCAAGCCCTGAGTTCAAGCCCCAGGACTGACCCCCAAAAAACAAAAACTCTAACCCTAACCCTAACCAAATAGTGGTCTTACTACTCTTACGGGAGAGAGGAGTGATGCAAAGAGGTCAGTAACTTGCCTGAGGTCAGCCTGGGACAATCTGGAGTAAACCCAGGCGCCTGTCCGGCTCCTCGTCCCTCCTGGGCATGTGTATGTGACTGCCTCTCATGGGTGGAGGAGGAAGTATATTTTTGCACCTTTTCTCCGGTCTTCCCTTGACTGGAGCTGGGTGTACAGCTGGCTTCTCCTTAGGAAATGTTTCCACACATGCGATTAGCTGAGTCCTTTGGGTCTGCTGTCTTGAGCTGGCTGCTCGCAGATGACACGTCCCTTCCTCTCTCCATAGGCACCCACATTTCCCCTCTCCCCTCGCCCTTCCCTCTGTGCCCACTGGACACACAGGACCCCACCCCCTCCATCACCTCCTTAACGATCTTAGGACTTGGTTTTCTTTCCTCCCAGAACATGTATACTTTGGCTTCCCTCACTTCCTCCTTTTAAATTTATGCCCTTTCTAGTGTTCTGCCACAAATAGTTCTGGCACATCAGGAATGGTATTCAGAGGTCAGTATTTCCTGACTTCCCAGACGCTGGGCTAAGCCTTGTTTACCTCTTCTGTAACCTTGGGCAGAGTCCTTGGCAGGTTGTGTTTGTTTTTGGTTTTTGCCTCCAGTCTTTCTAAAATATACCAAAACAGTTCCCCCCAAAAAAGTGTCATCACCTATTAGGGAGAAAGTGTATGGATCTTAAAGTAGAGGGCTAGAGCTGGGACCTGAAAAAATGTCCCTTTTAAAAGAAGGTCCTGGCTGAAATAAAACCTTGAATTCCTCATCTTGCCACCTAGTGGGCAAAAAATGAGAAAGTTCATTTGGAAGATAAGCAAGGAGAATGAAGGGCACTGTTGGAGAGGACCATCTTTCATTCTGACCTGATTCAAGGTTAGTTTTGGCTTTTGATCTTGAGACGAAGTTACTGATGGAGAAAGGGGGGAATCTTGTTCTTGAGAAGACTATGAAGAGGTGTTAGATAAACCAAGACCACCGGCGTTTTTCTCCTGGATAAGTGTATCAGATATACTAGAATTGGCATGAGAATTTGAAAAGCTCTTTATTCTTTACTGGCATCAAACAAAAGAGTTCTTTTAAAGTATTTGCCAGAATTTATATTGAACCAAAATACCAGAAGTGCTTCATTTGGGTAGCATTTGTGCTGAAAGATTCATATCATCTCTAGGTTTCTCAGTTGCAATCCCTCACTTGACATCTAGTGTCCCAAAGTATATTGCATTGAGAAACACTAGGGTTTTTGGTTGACTACTTCATTGAAAAATTTCCCAAGTAGGCTGGGAAGGTGGCTCAGGGGTAGAGTACTTGCCTTGCACGCATGAGGCCCTGGATTCAATTCCTCAGCACCACATACACAGAAAAGGCTGAAGTGGCGCTGTGGCTCAAGTGGTAGAGCGCTAGCTTTGAGCTGAAGAGCTGAGGGACAGCACTCAGGCCCAGAGTTCAGGCCCCATGACTGACAAAAAGACAAAAAAAAATTCCCAAGTAATATAACAAGCTGTGTCTTCTTTATATTTTTCTTCACTCTTTTTGTCTCCTGATTCTGTACTTTCCCCACCAGTTCCTCCAAAGTGGAGGAAACAGACTCACATGGCCAAAGCTGAAGATGTTGCCGGGGCTGGGGGACTGGACTGCTGACCAGACTCTAGAAGGAGGCTGAGGCCATGTCATGTCCCCATCCCAACACACTTGTCATTAAAGACAAGCTCAAATCTGGATGTGACTCTAAAAAATTGAAGAGGTTTTTGTTGTTATTGTTTGTTTTAAAACCAGATGCCAGTGGCTCCCAACTATAAATCTAGCTACTCAGAAAACTGAAACCTGAGGATTGTGGTTTGATGCCAGTCTGTGCAGGAAAGCCTATGAGACTTTTACCTCCAGTTTACTACCAAGAAAGCTGGAAGTGAAGTTGTGGCTCACGTGGTAGAGCGCTAGCCTTGAGCACAGAGAGGCTCAAGGACAGAGCCTAGGCCCCAAATTCAAACCCCAGGACCTGCACCAAAAACCACTAAAATACAGTCCTTATGTGCTGCAAGCAAATCCCCTGGGAGATGAATTTGAGATTCAAGCCTCCAGTTTTTACTTACACTGAAAGCTATCGCAGAGACTCTCAAGTGCCTACTTTGAGTTACTAATAATACCATCAAGAAAGAAACCAGTAAATTAAAATTTGTTGGGCTTATTGGTCACAATAATCTGATGCATTCCCTTAAATCACTTGAAGTTGGTTGGAATTAGCATTTGATTTATTATTAGTACAAATACCAAAAATAAAACTATTACTCTTGCTTTTTGACAGTTGTATGACTTCCTGCCTTACTTAACACTACTGTCTGGAGATTTATTTCAGAGAACTTGGCCATCCTTCTCCCTTGTTTTGACACTGCAGTTTAATCTTCTTAAAGTAGAGGTGGATTTTGGAAAGAAGGAAAACCCATGCAATATAATTTCTGGGTTTCTACTCTGCCATACTTTAAAGTTTAGAATTACTCATTTATTTACTGGTAACAAATTACAACTCAAGGCCTTAAGCTGGCCAAGCGGGCACCCTACCACTTGAGCCACATTTCCAACCCTTTCACTTTCATTGTTTTTTGAATAGTCTCAGTTTTTGCACAAACTCACCTGAACTACAGTACACCTCCTATGAAGTTAAAATGACAAGTGGGTGCAACCTCATCTAGTTTTTTGATTTTCGGGGCTTTTGTTTCTTTTGTTTTTAGATGGGATACTCCAAACTTTTTTCCCAGATTGGCCTCAAGCCAAAATCCTTGGGATTGCAGCCTCCTGTGTAGGAGGGATTACAGGTGTTGGCTACTATGCCTCCCCCCCAAAATTTACTTTTTTTTTTCCTTGCCAGTCCTGGGGCTTGAACATTGTCCCCGAGCTTCTTTTGCTCAAGGCTAGCACTCTACCACTTGAGCCACAGCACCACTTCCGCCTTTTCTGTTTATGTGATACAGAGGAATTGAACCCAGGGTTTCATAAATGCTAGGCAAGCACTCTACCACTAAGCCACATTCCCAGCCCCAAAGTTTACATTTAAATGGGAAATTTTAAAGCACAATATTCCAGAAACGAATCCAGTCTAAGACTAGAGATCCACATAGAATTAAGAGTAAGTCATTAAAATATATTGCCAGGTATGGTAGTTCAGCCCTCTTATTCCCAGCACCAGGGAGGCAGATGCAAGAGAATTTCAAGTTTGAAACTAGTCCGGACTACCCATGAGACCTTGTCTGGATGAATGAATGAATGCCAGAATAAATCATCACAAGATATTATCATAATCTTCTCTAAAGAATTAAATACTGGCTTGGGAGGGGGGGTGGCAGCTCACGCCTGTAACCCTAGCTACTCAGGAGGCTGAGATCTGAGGATCACAGTTCAAAGCCAGCCCAGGCAGGAAAGGCCGTGAGACTCTTATCTCTAATTAACCACCAGAAAACTGGAAGTAGCACTGCTGCTCAAATGGTAGAGCGCTGGCATTGCGTTAAAGAACACAGTTCAAGCCCCAAGACCTACCCCCCTCCAAAAAAAATTAAATTAAATATTGAATGGAATTCAATAAATTAAGGAATTATAGATTCTACCTCCATAAAACAACTCAAAAATAAGGCACATGCATATTAAGGTTGACATTCCCTCACTGCTTGGCTATTTGTAGAGGAATTTATCCAGGTCTAACTATATCCTAGGAAGAAAATTTTAAAGTAATGGCATAGAGTTCAAATAGACTGGTGCTTGAATTTCAAATTTCTGTTTCCTGTAGCTTTAGCCCTTTTTCTTTTCTAGGCCTTGTTTTCTCACTTTTAAATGACATTAGCAACTTTATAGGATTCTTGTGAGGACTGAATAAGTACTATGAGTGAAGTCCTTAAAACAGCGCCACGCAGAGCACAGGCGCTCTGTGGAAACCAGGGTTCTGATTCCTCTAATGATATACGTAGCTTACAGTAACCAGAACACATCTGCCTTCCAGCCTAATCTATTTTCAGTCACCTCTTTTGTGGTGAAGCAAAGTGGTCAAGTGGGCGAAGGAAACTGCTTTCTCACCCACCATCAGCTCTACTTAGCACTGCCATCCACACTCAGTGAGGCTCAATCTCATTTCCTGTAAAGTGAGAGAATTGAGTTGAATTATCGCTAAGTCCACTTGTATTATGGTTTAAAAGATGTCCAAAGAAGAGGCTTCTTAAGACAGCTCTTCAAGGGTGGCAGTACTAAAGTGGAGTCAGCTTGTTGAGCCTCATGACCCCACATACCCGATCATTTCACTCTGTTGATTAGCTCTGAAGGGCTGATTCATACTAACCAAACACCTAGAAAGTTGACAAAAATCCCTCCAGTTACTTTCCTGAGATGTCTCACTGGTTCGCTAGTGTTCTGATGAGTAAGGATCAAATTAGAAGAGGTTTTCTGATGACCATGGAATTCAGCAGAGACAGTTGACAGACTCCTAAAAGTTATTCCTATTATGCTTTGGTAGCCAAAGACATCTGCCTTTGTTCTTTGTTCAAAAAAAAAAAAAGAAATTACAATCATGTTTCAGGTCAGTGTTGAGAAGTGCCTGGTTGTTGAGGCGCTACTTTCGTTTCAGTAAGCTCATAGAGAGCATCAGACACCTCCCATTTTACACCCCACGCATGTACATGTGATGTGTTCTTTGCTGTACTTGAGATTTTTTTTTTTTTTTAGTTTTGTTTTTATTGCCGGTCGTGGGGCCTGAACTCTGGGTCTGGGCGCTGTCCCTCAGCTCTTCAGTTCAAGGCTAGCGCTCTACCACTGGAGCCACAGTGCCACTTACGGTTTTTTCTGTTTATGTGGTGCTGAGGAATCGAACCCAGGATCTCATGATTGCAGGGCATGCACTCTACCGCTAAGCTACCTTCCCAGCCCCTGTACTTGAAATTTTTATATTCTTTCTTGTTAATTTTGTGCTTTCATTCAAACTCTTAGATCCAATCGGTGTGGTACTTAGTAGCATTTTGGATGTTTTTTCTTCCTTCCTTCTTCTTTCCTTCCTTCCTTCCTTCCTTCCTTCCTTCCTTCCTTCCTTCCTTCCTTCCTTCCTTCCTTCTCATCCTTCCTTCCTTCCTTCCTTTTTTTTCTGGTCCTGGGACTGGACTTGAATTCAGGGCCTGGGCACTGTCCTTCAGCTTCTTTGCGCTCAAGGTTAGCACTCTACCACTTGAGCCACAGCACCAATTCTGGCTTTTTCCGAATAGTTTGTTGGAGAGAAGAATCTCATGGACTTTCCTGCCTCAGCTGGCTTCAAACCATGATCTTCAGATATCAGCCTCCTGAGTAGCTAGGATTATAGGTATGAGCCACCAGCACCTGGCTTTGGAATTTTTTGTTTGTTTGTTTGCTTTTTTAGAGAAAGGCTCAGGCTATGTAACCTAGGATGGCCTTGAACTCACAATCCCCTTGCCTCAACCTGCTGAGGTCTGGGATTACAGATGTATACCACCAAGCAAGCTCACTTATCAGCTTCTAACTGGTACTTGCAGGCATAAAGTCTTAACTTTTTAACAACACATGACCTTGTGTGCTTCTTATGTTGTAAGACATAGGAAGAAGCAAAGGGGCTTTGGCATGAAGTCAAAGCCATAGGAAAGAAGTTTATTAGGTATTCATGCGATAAGAATAAAATGAAATAATGGAATCTTTTATTAGAAGGAACTTAATGAAAAGTTTAGACTGTCAACTTAACTTTGGTAAATTAAAAGTCCAGCGGACAAACAAGAACTAGTTCCATCTGGTCTCCTTATCCCGCTTACCTTAAATATGCAGGTAATCCTACAGTGGCTTTCAGTGGCTCTGTAAATGCCTTGCTATTGTTTGGACCATAAGTAAGCATAAGGAGCGTTTTAGGGAAAGCTAATTTAGATAAGATGTTAGGAGACAAAGTGACTCCAAATGTAGAAAGAAAAAAAGATAGTGTTAACAAAAGGATTTGTAGGGGCTGGGATGTGCCTTAGTGGTAGAGTGCTTTTCTAGCATGCACAAAGCACTCGGTTCCATTCCTCAGAACCACATAAACAGAAAGGGCCAGAAGTGGTGCTGTGGCTCACAGTGGTAGAGTGCTAGCCTTGAGCAAACAGAAGTTCAGGGACAGTGCCCAGGCCCTGAGTTCAAGCCCCAGAGCTGAGGGGAAAAATGGATTTGTAGGGATAGATATGGAATTCATTTAGACTTGTTTGTTTAGTAATTACCAAAGTGACTGGTAGTCTGATACAGTTTTACAAAGATGCTCCCAAAAGTTCTCACTTGGCTTGCTTGTTCATGGTGGTGCTCTACCACGTGACCTGTGTTTCCAGCCTGAGTTTTTTAGTAGCCAATTCAAGATGGAGTCTCTCTGATCTTTCTGCCCAAGCTGACTTCAGACCAAGCCATGATCTTCTAATCTCAGGCTTGAACCACCAACACGCAGCCAGATTAGCCAACTTAAGTGAGAGGCACCAGTCACTAGAAAGGAAAGTTCTATTCCATAAGGAAGTGCTTCCCTAGTAACTAACATCATGATGCATTTGCAGACTGCTGCCTTCCCCGCTCAAGGATGCAGTGGGAGTGTCAACCTGGAGAGGGTGCTATACAATGCAAGAGGTGAACTCTGCCCTGAGTAAAATCCAGCTGGTGGGCTATTCTCAGAAAATTGTGAGTACTAACATGAATAGTGAATGCCTGGTTCGCACCGTTGGCCTGTGGACGATCCACAGCAACGAGAGCATGAGATTTCCTCCATCGCGCCCAGGGTTTTACTCCTCACCCTCCCATTCCTTCACCAGCTAGCAGTGCATTAGTCAGAGGGCATCACCCACCGGAGAGAGCCACATAGAACCACAGGCACCACAGGTGCCTGAAAACAGAAAAACAAGAACAACTTAATGGCCTAAATAAGAAGGATTCCTGGTTTCTCTTTTAATCAGTACCTAGAACCACAAATGATAGAACAGCCAAGAGCCAGCCAGGTATAGTAGCTGAAGCCTATGATCCTAGTAACTTAGAATATGGAGATCTGGGGACCACAGCCCTGGCCGAAAAGAAAACAAGTTCACGGGACTGTTTCTCAGCTGATGTTTCGGCTCCATGGTATGCACTGGTCATCCTCAGCAGTGCGGAGAAGCACAAATAGGATTGTAGTCCCGGACAGCAGGGGGATAAAGGCAGACCCTGTCTCAAAGGTAGCCAGCACAAAAACAGCTGAAGACCGAGTGGTAGAGCACCTGCCTAAGTGTGGGGTCCTAATTTCAACATTGCTACTGGAAAAAAATAATAACAACTAAGAGCCCAACACTTACTTAACCTAAAATGAAAACTGAAAGGTTGGGAATGTGGTAGAGTGCTTGCCCAGCATGCATGAAGCCCTGGGTTCGATTCCTCAGTACTACATAATCAGTTTAAAAGGGCAGAAGTGGCTCTGTGGTTCAAGTGGTAGAGTACCAGCCTTTGAGCAAAAGAAGCTCAGGGACAGTGTCCAGGCCCCAGGGGGGGGGGGTGGAAAGGAGGAAAGGGAGAGAGAGAGAAAGAAAGAAAGGAAGCAAACAAGTATTTGGCTCTTTATTCTGTTAACTGTGTCACTTTGCCTTTTTTTGTCGGTCGTGGGGCTTGAACTCTGGGCCTGGGCGCTGTCCCTTAGCTCTTCAGCTCAAGGCGAGTGCTCTACCGCTTGAGCTACAGTGCCACTTCCAGTTTTCTGATAGTTTATTGGAGACAAGAGTCTCATGGTCTTTCCTGCCCGGGCTGGCTTTGAACCGTGATCCTCAGATCTCAGTCTCCTGAGTAGCTAGGATTATAGGTGTGAGCCACCAGCACCCGACATCACTTTGCCTTTTAGTGACTGAGTCTTGAGTACGCATTGTCAGAGCTGAGGCGAAGCTGCAGGTGACAAAGATTGTATGACTGCTTTTTATGCCTGCCACAGGCTCTAACATCATTTCTGGTTTGCTTTGAACTTTGCAGGTTACTTTAGCATAGTTTCACTCTGTACTTTCCCCTGCAAACTTACGTGCTGTCTGTGTTTACTGAAAGCCCAAGTTCTTTCTGTGCTTCTTCTCAGGAGCTTTTTGGTGCTGTCCAGGTGACTCCCCTGAGCTCGGGCTATGCTCTTGGAAGCTCCAACTGGATCATTCAGTCCCATTATGAGAAGGTTTCTTACGTCTCCGGGTCCTCTTTGCTCACCACACATCCGCAGGTAATGACGGTCTCTTTCAGCGTGGCTGTCGAGTCCACATTCAGAATATGTCCTGAAATCCTCCTAATGTTTATGTCTTCAGATACCCTAAGAAAGTTAAATTGTTCAGGTCCCTTCATTAGGATTACACTTTAAAATAATTCTGTAACCTTTAGGGTCACCTCTTAAGATTCTGAGTTTTCCCCAATCCTTCCAAAGACCAGAGCTTGTTGTGGGACACAGAAGGGTGTTCATTTACTCAGTAGATATTAATTTCTGAATACCTAATCAAGTGCCACACACCTGTGAAGCATTTATTTGTGATGGCCATTAGGCAGTCTGCCCATGTGGATTTTACCTTCAGTTTATGTGTGAGGAGTCACTCCACATTGTGATACAAGTCCTGGAAACAAAGTGGAATTATTTCTAGAACAAAAGTGATAGTTGAGATTTGGTGATCAAAGGTAGCCTCCACCAGTTATGGTGGCACATGCCTATAATCCCAGAGCTCCAGGCCAGTGTGGGCTTCATATTGAGACACTGTCTCAAACATATAAGAGCAGAGGAAGAAAACCAGAAAAGGCCTCTGGATCCATCATCTACACAAACTGAAGGACTAGCCCTTCAAACTTGAGAGAGACGACAGAGGGAAGGCCCCTCGCACAGAACAAACGGGTCATGTCTGAGGAGCAGAGAACGTGTTGTGACTGCAGCGTGCTCGCACACAGACTCCCAGGAGAGGATCCATGCCAGATCACGGCACACTTTGCAGGCTGTGGTGAGGAATTCTGACCTTTGCTGGTATTAAGGTTTGAATTTGCTTGCTTAACTTGCTTATTCAACTGGTGCTCTACCACTTGCACAATGCCTCTAGCCCATCTTTTGCTGATGATTATGGAGATGGAGTTTCACAGACTTCTGCCTAGCTAGCTTCAAACCTTGATCCTTTGGAACTTGGCTCCTGAGTTCTAGAATTATAGGCCTTAGCCACCAGCACTTGGCCTGATTTGATTTCAGTGTGTAGAGGGAAACCACAGGAAAGCCTAAGTCATTCATAATTGTTTCATTTGCAAGAAGCAAATGTTTTGCATGTAATGTTTAAGGGTTTCAGGTATTTGTAAAAAATGTATTGCGCATTTCATAAATCTTGGTTCTATTTTTGTAAGATGGGGTTAAGATTAGATAGCTGATTGATGGATATATGTATACAAAAATACCTTGTAGAAGTCCATATCCCGTATTATTAAAATTTTAAACTTACAAACATAACTGCAGGATTTTATTTCCATAATAAAAGATGACACATAGCAGTGGATCGCCCAGCCCTCTGCCGGCTTTCCGACTCCAGGTCTCCAAAGCTTACTGCGGCACTAGTGGGCAGAGTGCTCCAGGAGCAGGCGATGCACTGGGCTCACCGCGCCCAGCCCCAGCACAGCACAGCCTGCCTTGGTGTTTCACCTGTTTACCTAATTTGGTAGCTCAGGTGTTTGAGCTGATCTACCAGCCCATAGTTTGACCTTTTTCCAGAAGCCCAGTGTGATCTCCCTGCCGTGGCCCCTCCTTTCTGTCACAGAAAGTTCCTGTTCATTACGTTGGTACTCACATACTTCCTACTGAAAGCCCATCAAGTTTTAGAAACATTTCACTGTTTCAAGAACCATTACTGGCTCAGAAAGAAAGCACCTGTTTGGTTTTTAGTTGATAAATAATTACATATTATTTATGACGTACATGATACTCTGACATACACATTTATTGAATGGCTAAATCAAGGCAGTTAACATACCATCTCATTGTGAAACCAGAGATGGAGGAGAATGCCATGTCCTGGGCCAGAAGAGCAGAATGCCCCTCAGCTGACATTCTGTATTGTTTTTTCCATACTTGTTTGTTTGTTTTTTGGTTGTGAGGCTTGAACTCAGGCTCTGGGTGCTGCCCCTGAGCTGTTTTGCTCAAGACTAGCGTTCTTTGAACCACTTGCAGTTTTCTGCTGGTTAATTGAAGCTAAGAGTCTCAAAGACTTTCCTGCCCTCCCAGCCATACCTTCTTTTACATCCAGGTTTTATTTCAAGGTTAGAAGGACACGAAATACTTTTACTGTAGCTAGCAGAATTCTAGCCCTTCCCGATTGTTAAAATCAAAAAGCCCATCAATGTCATTGTAATCAGCTTCATTGAATCAAAACTTTTTTATTGTCAGCTTCTCTCATTCTTGATGTGTTATTCAATAAAAGACAGAAAGATTACTTGGCTGCCAACCCCTCCAATTTGTCCTCTGAGATCAAAACCTTTACAGTACTATTGATGTAATTTCCAGTAAATTATTCTTATAAGGTCTATAAGTTTAAAGGGAAAATAAGGTCTTGAAAGTAATAAGCAAATTCCTATTAATTTTCATTTCTAACTGCCAATCTGTGTCTGTTGAACTCATAGGGATGAGAAAAGTTTGGTGCCAGGCGTTGGTGGCTTACACCTGTAATCCTAGCTATCTGAGGATCGAGGTTCAAAGCCAGCCTGGCAGGAAACTTTGTGAGACTTCTTATTTCCAATAAACCACTCAGAAAACCAGAAGTGGTGCTGTGGCTCAAGGGGTAGAGTGCTCACCTTGAGCCAAAGAGCAAGGGACAGCGCCCAGGCCCAGAGTGCAAGTCCCACAACCAACAAAAAAAAAAAGAAAGAAAGTTTGGGTTTCAGGAAACTTGATAGTAGTATTAGTTACTTTTCTATCACCGTAACCAAATGCCTATCAGAAACAACGTAAAGGAGGGGACTTATTTTGGCTCCCAGTCACATGGCCCCAATTGATTATATCCAACCATGCTCCATCCACTCACCACCTCACCCACCTTTCCAGGACTTCGTAATCATCGCCCTCCTTTCAGGTCGACTTTCTCCCGCCCACCCGAAAGAGAACATGTGACTCCATCTGGCTTATTTCATCTAACTGCCTCCAGTTCCACCTATTTCACTGCAAATGAAAGAATCTCACTATCTATAGATACTACTCTATCTTTGTGCCATATTTTCTTTATCCACTCACCTACTGATTACTGATGGTTGTTGATGGACACCTCATTTCGTAACTTAGCTATGGTAAATAATGCCATGGGTATGCATGCAGCTGTCTCTTGTATGCTGACTTCATTTTCCTTGCATAATGAGATGCTGTTTCATCATCAAAAAATTAGAGATGTTGGGCTGGGAAGTTGGCTCAGTGGTAGAGTGCTTGCCTTGCATGCATGAGGCCCTGGGTTCGATTCCTCAGCACCACATAAGCAAAAAGAAAAAAGCCAGAAGTGGCGCTGTGGCTCAAGTGGTAGAGCGGTAGCCTTGAGCTGAAGAGCTGAGGGACAGCGCCCAGGCCCAGAGTTCAGGCCCCACGACCAGACCCCCCAAAAAAATAAAAAATAAATTAAAAAAATTAGAGTTGTTGGCAAGAATGTGGAGAAAAAGGAATGCTATCTGTAAATTAGTGTAGCCACTATGGAAAACAGTATGGAGATTCCTTAGAAAAGTAAAGAATTTTGATTGATTGTTTTGGATTTTTTTTTCCTTTTTTATGTTTGTCATACATATATTTTTATGTCTTTCATTTTTGTCATACATTATTATAATTTCATGATTCTTTTTTATGTATTTATGATAAAAGTATACTGATTCACTAGAATTTGATTAGGATACCTTTGAAACACCATCTTTTTATAAATGTTCTAAAAGTGTTAAGAAAGAATGTGTACCAGTTGGTGGGTAAACATTCTTCCATATGTATCTGCTAACTTGAGCTCTCAAGTGTTGCAAGTCTTTTATATTTTAGCCACCAGTTTCTCAAGACCTTGATGATGGGTTGGACATAGAACCACGTCAATCTGTCTTGCTCCTTTGCTGTTAGTACATTACGTTCCCTTTTAAATTACTGATTGTAGTTCTCTGTTGTTTTTCAGCCCATGGACCAAGCATCTCTCAAAAACAGCGATGTTCTTATTCTGACAGGACTCACTCAGATCCCCACGGCAAACCCAGATGGCATGGTGGGGGAGTTCTGCAGCAACCTAGGTACAGGGCGGGGTGTCTGAGATCTGAACTTGCTTTTTAGTACCTTGCTTCCGTGCTATTCTTCTTGCCCATTTCCTTCACAGCCACATCCTCTGGGGCGTCCCTGCTCCCGTTTCCTTCCATCCTTTGTGGAACAGCCTGCTGTTGTCTGCAGGAGCAATCCTATAGTACATTAAGTCTGAAAGTGTGCTTGAGTGGGTCGTAAGACGCAAATGAGGATCATTAGCACTTTGTAGAAGAACTGTTCCATGTCCTCCCACCTTAATGTTTGTTTAATCCTGCTTTTGATGACTCAGTAAGGGAAGGGAGTACTTACCTGGTAGCAGATACCAAGGAAGGGAAGGAAGGGAAGAATCACATTTTTGCATTGCAAATACTAGCCCAGAAAAGACTGTTAGGGGGGCTGGGAAGGTGGCTCAGTGGTAGAGCACTTGCCTTGCATGCATGAGGCCCTGGGTTCAATTACTCAGCACCACATAAGCAGAAAAGGTCAGAAGTGGCATTGTAGCTCAAGTGGTAAAGCACTAGTCTTGAGTTGAAGAGCTGAGAGACAGTGCCCAGTCCCAGAGTTCAGGCCCCACGGCTGACAAAAAAAAAAAAAAAAAGACCGTTAGACTTTGAATTCACAACAGTGATATAATGAATGGAGGTAATGTTTCCCACTGTTACTTAGTTGGTATTACTTTTTTCTTTTGGGGGAAGATTAGCTTGAGAGGCCTGTGGAACATTTTCCATTAGGAAGAATTGTATTTTCCTTTGGGTGTAATTGTTAATAAAATATAGAAATTGGACTGGGAATGTGGCTCAGTGGTAGAGTGCTTGCCTAGCATGCAAGAAGCCCTGGGTTTGATTCCTCAGTATCACATAAACAGAAAAAGCTGGAAGTGGCGCTATGGCTCAAGTGGTAGAGTACTAGCCTTGAGGACAGAGACCCAGGGACAGAGCCTAGGCCCTGAGTTCAAGCCCCAGGACCAGCAAAAAATAACAATTTTTAAATTAAAAAAAAAAAATCTAGCCAGGCACCCGTGGCTTACGCCTGTAATCCTAGCTATTCAGGAGGCTGAGACCTGAGGATCAGGAAGAGCCAGCCCAGGCAGGAAACTCCGTGAGACTCTTATCTCCAGTAAACCATTAGAAAACCGGAAGTGGTGCTGTGGCTCAAGCAGTACAGTGTTTGCCTGGAGCTGGAGAGGGCAGGAAAAACACCTAGACCCAGAGTTCAAGCCCCATAACTGCCAAAAAAAAAAAAATTAGAAATTTTGCCTTTATTTTAGAAAAGCAGGTTGGTTACTGCTTCCGTGAGTTCAGGCTGCTGTAGCAAAGATGCCACGGTGGTGTAGGCAGGGGCCATGCCTCTCACTCTGAAGATGAGGACATAGAGATGCAAGTACTTCCTCACTCAAGGCTGCAGCTCCACCATTTGAGTGATCCTCTACTTGAGCTTTTTGCTGGTTATTTATCAATAAAAGAGGATTTGTCTGCATGAACTAGCTTCAAATGATGATCTTCAGATCTGAGCCTCCTGAGTATCTAGAATTACAGGTGTGAGCCACTGGGACCTAGCTGGGGTTTTTGCTGATATAAAGCCAAACATCATTTCTTAATGTGGAAAAACAGTTATTTGACTGGTCTCAAGTAGAGTCTTAGGTCTGTATGTTTGTTTATAATCTAGAAGTAGAGACTCAAAGTACTTGAATTTGGGGGACACCTCTGAATGGGTCTTCTAAATTGCCTGCTTCAGGGAATAGTGAGAACACCTTGCACACGCACTTTACACACACAAACCTAGGGCCTACCACAGAGCTACCAAGTTGGAACCCCTGGGGAGAGGAGAACTAGCAGAATGAAGGAGCACGATGAACATGCTCTCTTGGCAATGTCTGTGCAAACTAAAGTTTGAAAATAGCTAGCTGCACACGTTCCTCTCAGGTGAGTGGTGAGGAGCCAGGCCCGGCAAGGCTGTGTGGGCTCACCACTGGTCCAGGCTCTAGAGCCATGACTGCTGAAGCTGGGTTTTCTTCACGTCATGCTGCAGCAGTAGCGAGTCACCAGTTCGTAAGATACCTGTGCAAGGCAGTGGGCCTTGCAAGGGGTAGAGGACCGAGGCAACGAGACGCCAAGTCCTGCGCCCCCAAAGCCGTGGCTTTGGTTCATTTTAGAAACCAGGTGAAAAGCAAACCTGCGTGTGCACTTTGTTTCAGCCCGTCATAAGTTTCATGACTACAGCCCACGAGCTGAGATTCCTTTTCACATGGCTTACTTTCAGTATTTAAAGTATGGAAGGACTTCTACTGAATAATTAAAGAAAATGCCAGAAAAACTTGGCCTGTTTCCTTATGATCAAAGACAAAAAAGAGAGAAGAGAAGACTGACAAGTTTTTGAGGAGGATGTGAACAGATAAGGAGCTGAGCCTCTGTCCTGCAGCATGGCTGCTGGGAAGCATCACAACCCACACCTTGGTGCCAGTTATCCCTGGGAGCTCAAATTCGAGGTGATGGAGAAATCAGTGCTCAGCCTTGCATTCCCTTCCAAAGAAGTGGAATTCTATACATGCAGGTGCATTATGAGAACAGAAATAGGAAAACAAATGCAATTGTTACTTCAAAAGTTACACTGAACCTTTAAAAACTGTTCTTTTGGTAAGACTTTCACCTTCTGGCTGCATCTTTCCTAGCTTTAACAGTCCGCAATGGAGGAAATGTGTTGGTCCCCTGCTATCCTTCTGGAGTGATCTACGACCTCCTGGAGTGCCTGTACCAGTACATCGACTCCGCTGGCCTCTCCAGTGTCCCCTTCTACTTTATCTCTCCCGTGGCCAACAGTTCACTTGAGTTCTCCCAGATTTTTGCTGAGTGGTATGTCAGTGTTTTCTCAGAGTTCCATTAGGTTTTAGTACATTGAAACAGTAAGAATGAGCTAGGTGCTGGGGGCTGGCAACTGTAGGTACTCAGGAGACTGAGATCTAAGGATCAAGGTTCAAAGCCAGCTGGGGCAGAAAAGTCCCTAAGACTCTTATCCACCTGAAAATCAGAAGTGGCACTATGGCTCAAAGTGGAAGAGCACTAGCTTTGAGCAAAAAAGCTCAGGGACAGTGCCCAGGCCCTGAATTCAAGCCCCTGATGCCCCCCCCCCCAAAAAAAAGAAGATTTAACTAGATACGTGTTCATCCTTAATACTCTGTGGGTGTGGTTTTAATTCACCACTGGGAAAAAAATCTTAACTTTAGTGTTGAAATTTTATCTGCAGCCACTAGGTGGCAGCAGCTGCCTGTGTACTGGCTAATGCTGCTTTTCCTCTTTAAAAGGCTTTGTCACAACAAACAAAGTAAGGTGTATCTCCCAGAACCACCTTTTCCTCATGCGGAGGTAAGGAAACGGAATCATGGGAAAGAAATGTGGGTGGCTCCGTGTGGATGGGCAATCCGTGTAAACAGACACAGCTCTTTTTCTTAATTTTGATGACAGCCCAGCACTCTAGTGAATCTTTGTGCTTCCTCTTATTTGCATGTCATGTTACCTCTGTTTATACAAGCACAGCCCACCTCTGAAACAGTCCCTGTGTGTTTGACTTGAAGTAACATTTATGTCTTGTCAGATGTTCTTTCCAATTATGCCAATCCCATAGAAAATAAAAGTTTAGCTTAAAAGAGAGAAAAGGCTTTCCTGTCTCAGAACTGATGAGGGTCTTTTTATGTACCCAGTACTCCGTTTTGTTTCCCTTTTTTTTCCCTCCAAATTGCAGATTTTGGACATTTTTCTGAGTGACTGCCTCATAGTGTTATTGCTCCTAGTAGTCCATAGCATATCACAAACACACAGTAACAACTTTAATAATCTTTCTGTTGGACAGACTTATTCCTCCTTTTTGTTAGGTGTTTATTCAAAATCACGATGTTTAGATGGCTTTAACTCTTTAAGGAATGTTGGAAATGAGTTCTAGAGCCGCAGAATACTACACACCTGAGCATGTGCATTCTGGTGTGTCCACAGGCAGAAAGCAGTTAGCAGAAGACACCAGAACTTCATAGAGTTCCAGCATGGTACTGACATACACCCAAATGTCCAGCTACAGGACAGAGAGTATTGTGGTACTGTCATACAACCACTGTACATTAGTGAGGCTGAACCATATTCTCCAAGTGCTACAGCCACAAGCCCTCTCTACACCAGCGCTACAGTGCACTGTGCTGCTAAGCTGTGCTGTGCTGTGCCATGGGTGTATTAAATGCCTTCTCCACACATGTAAATGTTCAGCCTCTGATGGGCTTACCAGGAGGTAGTCCATTATAAATTGAGGGGCATCAGCATTTATTAGTATTTGTTACTCAGTACACTTTGGAGCAGCCTGAGTTCACTGAAAAGTTATCAAGAGTTCCTATGTATTTCCAGCCGCTTCTACACCAGAGCGGTGTACTTGTAAGAACTGATGAACCTCCGTTGCATTCATCACCCAAAGTCTATTAGAGCTCGCTCTTGGAATACATTCTTTGGGGTTAGCCAAATGAGTAATGTCATGTATCTAGTTTCAGTATTGTGCAGAATAGTTTGCTGCCCTGAAGTCCTCTGTGCTCCTCTGTTTCACCCTCTCCCAACCAGCCCATGGCAAACAAAATCTTCCTACCCCCATAGTTTGGCTTTCTTTGAATGATGTGGTTACAGTGCTTCAATGCGTACCCTTCTTAGATGGGTTGCTTCCACTTAGTGAGAGGCTCTCCATCCTTTCCATGGCTGGACTACGTATTCCACTGCCTGGAAATGCCAGTTTGTCCATTGTCTACTGATACTTTGGTTGCTTCCAAGTTGGGCAGTTGTGAATAAATATCCATGTGAAGGTTCTGTGGACATTTTCAACTCCTTTGGGTAAAATATCAAGTAGGATGATTACTGGGTCTTCTGGTAAGTATATGATTAAAAATAAATACAGCCAGGCACTGGTGATTCACGCCTGTAATCCTAGCTATTCAGGAGGTTGAGATCTAAAGATCACGGTATAAAGCCGCCTGGGCAGAAAAGTCTGTGAGACTCTTACCTCCAGTTAACCACCAGAACACCAGAAAGAGTGCTATGGTTCAAAGTGGTAAAGTGCTACACTTGAACAAAAGATCTCAGAGACAATGCCCAGGCCCGAGTCCAAGCCCCATAACCAACCAAAGGGGGAAAAACCTACACCAAACTGTCCTCCATCTGACTATGCCATCGCTCCACCCCATCCCCATACCAAGTGAACATTCCTGCCATCTGTTTATCTAGATCTTCCGCATCTTTAAGTTGGGTTCATTTTCTTGATGAGTTTTAAGAGTTTGTATATTTTCAAACTATCAGGATTTATCTATTGTATTTTTAAGTCTCTTCTTCAGCCTCAGCAGGCAAACAACTCTTCATGTGGGCTTTGATGTGCCTTCTAGCTCATTCAGACCAATAAGCTGAAGCATTACCCCAGCATCCACGGAGACTTCAGCAATGACTTCCGACAGCCATGTGTGGTATTCACTGGGCATCCTTCTCTCCGATTCGGGGACGTGGTCCACTTCATGGAGCTCTGGGGAAAATCTAGTCTCAACACTGTCATATTTACAGGTAGACTATAATAAATCATTCCCTTTCCACCGGGGCTGTTAGTGGATGTGCCTACCAGGTAGAGATCCAAGGGAAGGTTTGACATTAGGCATGCATGCAAACTCAGGAACTAAGACCAGCACCTGGTGCATCATGATCACACCCTGTATCAGGAGCAGGTGGGGCCCCAGGTGTCAGTCTGGCTCACTCCCAGTTTACAGGCCTGCCTTCCTGGGAAGAGAGCATTTGCTGACGTGACTCAGGGTCCATTCATTGGTCTCCTGTCTGCTAGGGGCAGAGGTGTTGATTTGTCTCATGTGGATGTTTGTTTTGAGCACCAGATGTGATGGCTGTGGTCTGCACCAGGCTTGTCCACTGTGCGGGTACTGTTCTTGTTCCATTTGCCCCATATCTTGCTGGGGACAAGACTGTGCAGAGAAGCATATAGACTTATGTACAAAACACAGCCACACGCATAGGTCCTATTCCTCCCCAAATTTTGCATTGATTGATGATTCTGATGTGAATAACTTATCACTGTGATGGCTACCAAAGGCACTTAGAACAGCTCTTTTTGTTCTAGACGCAGCCTGGGCATGCTCCCTGAGCTTTTTGGTGGTTAAATGGAAAGAGTCTCATAGACTTTCCTGACTTTGAACCCCAATCCTCAGATCTCAGTCCCCTGAGTAGCTAGGGTTACAGGCCTGACTGTAGTGTTACCAGCACCTGGCTGAAAAGCAATTTCTGTCCCCTCATTTATCTGCCTCTGTCCCTGGTGAACATGTGGAGCCCACAGCTGTGCCTCCGGTCCCCAGCTCCCCCTCCCGCCCCCACCAGGCTCTCCTCACTATGCTCCTTGCTGAGGCTCCCCCTCGTCCTGTGGCCCGCGGAGTGCCTGCTGCCGCCGGGCCAGCCCCTGGCCCTGTCCCCTCACTTGGTAGCCCTCTCTTGCCTGCAAATTAAGATTCACTGTGCGCATTTCCCTTAGAACCAGACTTCTCCTACTTGGAAGCACTGGCTCCTTACCAGCCCTTGGCCATGAAGTGCATCTACTGCCCCATTGACACACGGCTGAATTTCATCCAGGTGTCCAAGCTCCTGAAAGAAGCGCAGGTAGGAAGGCGCGTTTGCGGTGCGTCCTTCTATGGTGTGCGGGTAAGGAAGGGCGCGGTCGCGTGGCCGCTGTGGTGCGTCCTTCTATGGTGTGCGGGTAAGGAAGGGCGCGGTCGCGTGGCTGCTGCGGTGCGTCCTTCCGTGGTGTGCGGGAGGGCGCCTGCCTGAGGAGACCTCTGTTCCCAAGTGTGCAGAATGCTACAGCAGAACACTGTAGAATGCTCTAGAAGGAAGAAGGAAGTTTCCCCTCCAAAGAATTCAAAAGTAAAAGGCAAGGAAAGTATCAGCAGTCGGTTGCATTTGATTAAAAACCAGTTGTGTCATTGGGGCATCAGTGTTTCACGCCTGTAATCCTAGCTACTCAGGAGGCTGAGATCTAAGGATCACAGGTCAAAGCCAACCAGGGCAAGTTTCTGAGACTCTTGTCTCCGGTTAACCACCAAAAGCCAGAGTAGAGCTGTAGCCCAAGTGGTAGAGTGAGGGACAGCGCCCAAGACCTCATTCAAGTCCCAGGACCAGCATAAAAGAAAAACTAGTTGTGTCCACTTAAAATCAGATTTTTACTCTATCCTCTGAAGTCATTCTATAGTTACATAAGCTGGCAGTTTAACTAAAACATGTCCAAGGCCTTGTCTTACGTATGCTGTATTAAACCCAAAAGGCACACCTGTTTAATGTCTTGATTTTTCTAGGGCTTTGAGGCTTCGTCCAGTGCTGACAATGAGCTGGTAGATTATCAGCATTAGTTTTCACTTGAGGAGTATTTGTCTAAAAGAGATCTTTTGGCCGTTTTTTTTTTTTTTTCTCCCAAGATAAATTAAAAGGTTTCTTTTTTTTTTAGTAAGAGTTCCATCTCTAGTTCCTTCTCACCCACAGTTGAGCCTGAGCCTGCCCAGTGTCCACCGCCTCCCACCACCGGTCTGCAGACTGTGAGAAACGCACACTAGCACAGGAAGTCACACCTCTTGCCAGACTTCCCAGGGCTCCGTAAGGGAAGACCCGCCGTGCCCAAAAGGAGCTTAGCAGCCCTTGGGAGTAGACGCGAGGAGGTCAGCCTGCAGGTTTCTTGGCTATAGTGAGATGTATAAACCAAGACAGTTTCATCCTCCACTCATCAACACAGCTTGCCGCTCCTGACATGCGTGTGCTTCCCCTACGCTGCCCTCTCTCACCAGTGATGGGCCTGAGAGGATGAGTGACAGGCCTGAGCAGGGTGCTCTGCTCGCAGCCCCCTCCCGTAACTCTGTCTGTTTGGTCCGCAGCCCCTGCACGTGGTCTGTCCTGAGCAGTACACCCAGCCACCCCCCACCCAGTCCCACAGGATGGACCTCATGATCGACTGCCAGCCCCCAGCCATGTCTTACCGGCGAGCGGAGGTCCTTGCTCTGCCCTTCAAACGTCGCTATGAGAAGATTGAAATCATGCCCGAGGTGAGCACTTCGCTTTCTTACAGTTCACCTGGCGTTTTTCCACTTGAGTCTCTTGAGGAAAACGATCCCAGGGATGCTTTACTGAGGGCTGTGTCAAACACGCCGACCCTTAGGCAAGGAACAGTGCAGGGGTGGGATGGTCTGGCCCCCCCAAGTTCCATGATGCGCATTGCACAGTGTGTCCATGCAGCAAGTACACCCTGGGGAGCACGGAAGTGCTGGTGCCAGCTGCCCTAACCCCTTCCAGCCATAGCACCCCCATTCTTCCTGGACCTCACGAGGACTGAGCCAGGTTTCGCTGCAGTTAGAGAAAATGGAGGAGATAAGAGGAATCAGGGCAAATGGAATGTTAACCGGCTGCTGTATGCAGTGTAGCATGATTTCAAGGTTTGGTCCATGGAAGTCTAGGACCTGAGTTGTGTGGAATCTTGCTGCTTTAACCAGGGATAGAGGAAAGGCATTTGTAGGGGGTGCTGTGCTCCCTCTGGGGAGCGAGGAGGAGCACCCCTCGGGAGGAGTGGTGGAGCAGCAGGCTGCTCCGACGCCTTCGCCTCTGCGACAAGCTGTGCTGGGCCATTGTCGCGGGAGAGCCAGTGCGGGGCGCAAGCTACTTTTGGGGTTTTGACGATGAAGAGCAGTATCCAAGCTGGGAACGTGGCTCAGTGGTAGAGCATTTGCCTAGCGTGCATGAAGCCCTGGGGTTGATTCTTCAGTAATGCATAAATAGAAAAAGCTGGAAGCAGCGCAGTGACTCAAGTAGTAGAGCGCTAGCCTTGCACACAGAAAGGCTCAGAGACAGAGCCCAGGCCCTGAATTGAAGCCCAGGACTGGCAAAAAATAAAAAAATATCCAGTCCTTGGATGTTTCTCTTCCCACAGTCCACAAGGCTGGTTTCCGGAAGTACAAAGTTGTGGTTTGCTTTGTTGAGAACAATAAATGAGATGCGAGGTAATTTTAGTAATTCAGACAAAAGTGGCGCCTCACACAGATGGAAGGTCCATGCACGTGGGCAGCCGCCGTGTTTGTAGCGGTTCTTGGTCTGCTCTCTGCTGGGGAAGGTGGGGCGGGAAGACCCGAAGGACGAATGGACGGGATGCGCTGTTGTCTGGGTTCATGGAACACAGGGTGTTCATGGAGCTTGTGACTTCAGCATCACACCCTTCCTTCTCTTGGCTAAGCACTTTCTTGCTCATTGCAGCTCACGCACGAGGACCAGTCACCCCTTGCAGCCCTCTGGGTGACAGGTGCGTGTTCCCGTGGCCCTGTGGGTAGCTAGGCTGGCAGCCAGTCAGGCTTCCTACGGCTCCCCAGGTGACGAGTCTGTTCTCTTGAAGTCTCTGAGCAGTGGTCCTCCTCTTGGCTTCATCCGGTACTTCCTCTTCATTTCAGTTGTATGGCATTGATTGGAGCTTGGGATAGGGGGAGATGAAAACAGCTTCCTCACTCCAAAAGAATGCTAAGTTTCAGTCTTGGTCTTAACCCAGAAGTAGAGCTAACCATCCCTATTTCTGTTTAAGGGGGGAGGGGGAGGGCTGTACTTTTATGATTTCCACTCTATTTTGCTATTTCTTTGTAGATGGCGCTGAGGTTTGAACTTACTGCCTTGCACGACCTCGGCAGGCAGTTTCTTGCCGAGTCACACTTCCAGCTGGGTTTTTTGTTGTTGGGTTTTTTTTTTTTGGTCCGGTCATGGGGCTTGAACTCTGGGCCTGGGTGCTGTGCCTCAGCTTTTCAGCTCAAGGTGAGAGCTCTATCACATCTGGTTTTCTGGTGGTTTATTGGAGTCTCATGAACTTTCCTGTCCAGGTTGGCTTTGAACCGTGATCCTCAGATCTTGGCCTCGTGAGTAGCCATGATTACAGGCTTAACCCACCAACACCTGGCTTGGTTTTTTTGTGGGGTTTTTGCTGCTTCTCTTTGAGAGAGGGTCTTGCTTCCTTCCAGACATGTGCCCAGGCTGCAGCCCTACCCTCTTTGCTTCTCATAGCACTGATGATAGGTGCACACACGGTACACCAGTATTTCCATTGAGATGGACTCTTATGCCAGGGGATGGCCTGGCGCCCTGATCTTTCCGATCTCAGCCTACCACATAGCCACGCCCAGCCATGGGTTGAGGAAGGAGCTTTTCTGCCCAGGCTGAAAAGTCATTCTGAAACCATCAGCTTCCTAAGTAGCTAGAGTTACAGACATGAGCCAGGTTAGGCTTTGGTTTTAATGGTTACATAATGGCCTACCTTAAACGTATAACAATTTTATTGTAAACTGTTTACTTGTAAGAAGTTATTATTTTTGGGTTTTCTACATTATACATAACACTTCAAGGAATATCCTTTACATAAACCTTTGTCCTTATTTTTATTCCTGTGGGAAAGCTTTAGAAGCTTCTGGATTGACTGTAGGGCACCAGGGCACATGTGACAGCTGTTCTCAGGACGGAGGAGCACAGCGTTTGCCCCGGGTGGGGCGCACTCTCTAATGTTTCCGTGGCTATATTTTGGTGTGTCATTTTGAATTGAGCTTCTTTGATTATTAACAGAAAACTTTCTAAACCAACTTGCTGCGGGGATTTCTTTTGCCTTTAAAATGGTCAGCGTAGCCGGGCACTGGTGGCTCACACCTGTAATCCTAGCTACTCAGGAGGCCTAGATCTGAGGATCGCAGTTCAAAGCCAACCCAGGCAGGAAAGCCTGTGAGACTCTTATCTCCAATAAACCACAGAAAACAAAGTGGCGCTGTGGCTCAAGTGGTAGAGCGCTTGCCTTGAGCTGGAGAGCTGAGGGACAGTGCCAAGGTCGAGTTCAAGCCCCACGACCGACCAAAAAAAAAAAAAAAGGTCAATGTAGCTGGGCCCCATACATGTAATCCTAGCTACTCAGGAGGATGAGATCTAAGGATCACTGTTAGAAGCCAGCCTGGGCAGGAAAGTCCGTGAGATTCTTGTCTCAGATAAACCAACCACCCCAAAAACCTGGAAGTGGAACTGTACTTGAGCTCAGACATGGGGACACACACACACACACACACACATGCGGACGGTGACATTTAAAGCCTAATCTTCACCTGGGGAAGGGCAGCTACTTCTGAGATGAAAACCTAATGTTTTCTGAGCTGGGGGGTGGGGAGGGAAGGGGGCGTGGCGGTGGTGGACACAAGTTCAGAACCTTAGGCTTCAGTAATTTCATGAAGTTTTGGTTTTGTTGTTGTTTCTGGCTGTTCTTTAAACTTGTTAGGCAAGTGTTCAATGCCTCCAGCTCTTTTTTAAAACACTGGGGTTTTTTTTTTTTTTTTTTTTTGGTCGTGGGTCTTGAACTCTGGGCCTGGGCACTATCCCTCAGCTCTTCAGCTCAAGGCGAGCACTCTACTGCTTGAGCCACAGTGCCACTTTCGGTTTTCAAGTGGTTTATTGGAGATAAGAGTCTCATGGACTTTCCTGCCTGCACTGGCTTTGAACTGTGATCCTCAGGTCTCAGCTAGGATTACAGGTATGAGCCACTGGCGGCTGGCTGGCACTGGTTATTTTGAGATAGGGTCTCATTTCCCTGCCTGGCACTCATGTGGATTGCGATCTACCTGTTTTAGGTGTCCAGTTGTAGTGCTCACTGCCACGCCCAGCTTCTTTCCTTTGAGGTGGAGTCTCACAGTTTCTGCTTCAGCTGGTCTGAAACCATGATCTTCCCGTCTCAGCCTCCCACCACCAGCACCTGACCCCTAAGTTCATTTGTCATTTTTAAGAAGGGTTCACTGTCACAGAGTCGGTCAGAGTTTTCAAGCCATGTAAGAGTCCTGTTGTCACGCCACGTGAGCCACGGGGGGGGGGGGGTGGGCAGAGAATGAGCCAAGGCCAAAATGATCAGGAAGTGTTTTTAGGGGCTGGCGGGGTCTGAGGGGTCTATGAGAGAGCTTCCAGAATTGTCTGGAGCTGCCTGAACAGCAGCCGTGAGTCCAAGACATCCACATGAGGCAGGCTTGGCAGGTGCTGGGTGACATAACAAGATGCGCACCGCCTGGGGAATCCCGGCTGCCACGCTCTGCGCCGCTGGGCAATGTCCTGTGCAAACGCTGTGTGGCAGGAACACGGCCTGTCACTACCTCCACTCCCTCCCTCGTCTCCCCGCCCTCCTTCATTGAGATTGGTAGATTTGTATAGGTGTTTCCATAACCACTGTTCTCTACAAAAACACTTTCATTTCTTCACTTCTTAAAGTGATTGGTTCCTTTTCGCCTGCAGCAGTGTAAGTAAAACCTAAAAGAGATCGTCACACTGGCCATCTGGAGCAGCGGGGCCTCCTGGCCCCTCTCCCACCAGGCCAGGCCAAGCTGCGCAGCACCTCCAGGTCACGGTCCAGCTTGGCCTTTCCTGGGGGTGTAGCCCAGCCCCGCCGCGCTCACCACTCCTGCTCAGCTCCTCTTCTCAGAGGGCCACCTAAAAAGCCCACATTTGCCTTCAGCTTGCAGATTCCCTGGTGCCCATGGAGATCAAGCCTGGCATCTCCCTGGCAACCGTCTCAGCTGTGCTGCACACTAAAGATAACAAGCACGTGCTTCAGGTAGGAGGCTGGCGGGAGGCAGGGCACTGGAGACCCTCCTGCCCAGGCTTGTTTGGATCAGAGGCTCTTCATATAAATTCCTGGCGACTTCCTTCTGTGGCTGCAGGCCTCAGAAAGGTGCCAGGGAAGAGACGTAGGGTGGTTGGAGAGGGGGCCACGTGGCACCCTCCACTCTGGGCTTCAGACTGAGCGCTGTAGGGTGAGCTGGTACTGTGGGGAGTCCCCTTAGGAGGCCTGGCACAGAAGTACCACAGTTCAACCGTGAAGGCTCCAGGCCTGGGCTCTGGTGGGGCACCTGTCTCCTAAAGGACTTGCAGGCCTGAGCTGTGCCCGGCACAGCTGCCACATGCCGTGCTAGCACTGCGTATCCTCACCACTCACGCAACAGCTCGGAAAGTCACCGTAGCAATGCCTCTGTCCCCGGTCTCCTAACAGTCTCCACAGCTGGGGTCCGGCCGTGGCGACGGTGCCGCAGTCTGTTAGGCATTGCTCAGCAGAAACTGAGTTGGGTTGATGGAACTTAGAAATGGATCTTGGTGAAGGCAGAGGGCTTCACAGACGCGGTGGCCTGGTGTGGATGGTTTCGCCAGCTGGGGCCCTGGGCCTCCTGCAGCCTCAGCAGCAGAAGAGGCGGACGCTCTGGGCAGCTGTGCTTCCTTCTGCCGCAGCCCCCGCCCAGGCCGGCCCAGCCCCCTGGTAAGAAGAGAAAACGGGTGAGTGAGGACATCCCTGACTGCAAAGTGCTGAAGCCCCTGCTGAGCGGCTCCATCCCTGTGGAGCAGTTTGTGCAGACCCTGGAGAAGGTGAGCGACCCCGACCCCTGCTCCAGCGCACGTGCTGCCGTGCCACCTTGCCCTGCTTTCCCCATGGTCCAGGCTATTCCTGGGCTCTGCTTCGTCCAGGGTGGGCAAGGGGGCACCCTTCCTTTTTTTAATTTACTTTATTGTGATACACAGAGGGTTACACTTACATGTGTCAGCTATCGAGTACAGTTCCTTTCGTACATGCTATTTCTTGTTAGAAAAAACTGCACTTGACATCAATTTAAAGTGGTTTACTCCGATTAATGATGAACCTTTTTTCCACTGGCATCTTAAAAGAAAAGGCTTCCTGGGATGGGAATGTGGCTCAGTGGTAGAGTGCTTGCTTGCCTAGCATGCATGAAGCCCTTGTTCAATTCCTTAGTACCACATATACAGAAAAAGCCAGAAGTGGTGCCGTGGCTCAGGTGGTAGGGTGCTAGCCTTGAGCAGAGGGAGGGAGGGAGGGAAAAAAGAAGGAAAGAAAGGGCTTCTTTGGAAGGCTTGGTTTCTTCATCTGACCTCAGCTTTCCCACACAGCTCTTCTTGAGGCTCCTGCATTCATGACCATGAACGATGGTCCCTCTCCATGGAGTCTCACTTTTGCAGAGAGGCCTGTGCACACAGGCACTGTCTATACCAAGCACAGATGACGCCAGTGCTCTAAGAGAATTTGGCAGTAAACACCAGGATGGCTGCAGATGTGCCTCACTCCCCTTCAAACATCTGCCCACCCTGGGGGAGCAGGAAGTGGAATCTTCTCCAACTCAGAACAGCTGAGACTCAGGATGCAGCAGGCACCCTGGGAACGTGCAGGATGTAGTTGGATTCTGTTGCTGTCATAGGCCCTGTTGTAAGACCAAAGAAATGGCTGCAGGGATGGAGCCGGTGGAACAGAGCGCTTGCCTAGCAAGCACAAGGCCCTCAGTTCAAACCCCAGTATTGACCAAAACAGAACTGCATTAGGCATGTCAAAAATAACCGGTTCTTAGACTGTCCAGCCAGACCTAGAGTGCCAGGTTTAGCGGTTCAGGTGCAGAGTCTCTCCATTTGCCGTCAGCCATCTCTTCTTTCTCTTGGGGCAGCATGGCTTCAGTGACATTAAGGTGGAAGACACAGCCAAGGGCCACATCGTCCTGCTCCAGGAAGCTGAGACGCTCATCCAGATTGAAGAAGACTCCACGCACATCATCTGTGACAACGATGAGATGCTGAGGGTCCGACTGCGGGACCTCGTCCTCAAGTTCCTGCAGAAGTTCTGAGTGGCCATCCGCAGCTGCGTGTCTGCACATCCGCGGTCTCAGGAGAGAAGAGGCGGCGCTCAAAAGAAACAGCCAGGAGCTTGTCCGGCCCCTGCACAGTGTGAGACAAGGACTTCCCTTCACACTGACAGGCATTTTCTTAAGGACCTGGCACAACAAGCCCGCCTCGCCCAAGACGTGCGTGGTGGGCAAGGAGTGACGCTGGCAGGCGGGTGTGTGAGGCCCGAGTTTGTTCCGCCGTTCACAAACAAGTCTCACTTTATTTACTGCCTACACACACCTGCTCCCCACACACACAAAAAAGAGTTGGGAGCTCAGAGGCATGGCTCAAGTGGCAGAACTTCTGCTGAGTAACTGCCTAAATTCAAAGCATGAATTCAAATCCTAGTACTCTACACGCACAAAAACCACAATCCCAAAAAAGTAGTGAAGTAAACCCATCTATCTGTATTTTATACTGCAGTCCACTTTGTGAATAAACTTATTTTTATAGTACGATCCATGCTTTCTTGAAACTATATATAACAGTGATTTAGTATCTAAAATATGTAAGAACAGCATAAACCAACACTTCACAACAACAAATTTTAGGTCACGCGTATTAAATCATAAAACCTAGCACTGTTTATACCAAAAAAAAGCCTTATCATGCGGAGAGCGAGGGCTGCGGCCATCCTGGACAGGAGCTCAGGAGGCTCCAGGAGCCTCGGTGTGTGCCTGCGCTGGCGCACCGTCAGCTGGGTGGCTGGCGCGGGTCAGCACAGACCCAGACCCGAGACCAGGCTCAGGCCACTGCCTGGAAACAAGCGTCTCAAAAAGTCAAAGCAGGACTGGCAGAGTGGTGCAAGAGTGAGGCTGAACCCGATCCCCCCTCACCCTGCAAAAACAAACGTATCTCTCCTTAAGTTGTATGCACACGCACTGCACTTAAGCTGCCCCAAAATGATGTGTGCTGGTGGACTGTGCTACCTGTGGGCTTTTGTGGCCCCCACAGAACATGACAACAGTGGCTCATGGTCCTGTGAGGTTCCCTCACTCAGTGACACCTTGACACTCACTCTGCCCTGCTCATCCCCAGTGCCAGAACCAATTCCACGCCAGGCAGCTCAGGGCGGGGCCTCCGCTCGTCTCGCCTGCCTTCCCACAGCAGGAGCTGTCGCGCGCACACCAGCCATGGAGGTGGCGGGTGAAAGCTTCCCGGGGGTTCTGGTGGCAGGCCTGCTGTGCCAGAACCTCCCAGCTGTCACCTTCCAGCTGGGCTATCGCGAGGATCCCAAAGGGACTTGGTGACCTGGCGGGGTCACACTTAAGAAGCCAGGCACAATTGCTCCCCACCCCCCTGCGAAAAGGTTTATGGGAATAATGGATTCTTTTTTTGGGGGGGGGGATTCGGTTTTGGGGCCTGAACTTGGCCTGGGCGCTGTCCCTCAGCTCTTTTAGCTCAAGGCTAGCACTCTACCACTTGAGCCACAGCGCCACTTGCGGTTTTTTTCTTTTTGCTTATGTGGTGCTGAGGAATCGAACCCAGGGCCTCATGCATGCAAGGCAAGCACTCTACCACTGAGCCACCTTCCCAGCCCCGGGAATAATGGATTCTTGGAAGAGAAGTGGTTCCAGTTAGCTGCACTTCAGCACAGAGCCACTTCATCACAGGACAACTGTGTCCCAGGATAGGTGACACAATACTGGCAGGAGCCTGTGGGCGTGGGACAGTAACACTGCCGTGAAACCTCAGCTCTATTCCTAGGAAGAATATGTGCCCGCGTGCATGGGCGTCAGGTTTTAAGGTTTTAAACCTTTTATAAAATATCTTGAAAAATGGAAAGCATTCTGAGTTCAAAACCCCTGACAGTGATTTTATTGGAATGTCCTAGCAGTATCCAGAAATGCCCTGGGACGTGTCAAAGAGCACCATAGACAGCACAAGGCATGACTCTCAAGGGCTGGTGACTAGGAGACAGACATGGGTACAATGGGGCCGCAGATGCCCGCTGAACAGGGAATCATCAGAATTAGAGATGTGTTCAGCCCCTGCACGGCAGGAAGAAGCAAAGACTCATTCTTTTTTTTTTTTTTTTTTGGGGGGGGGGTCCAGTAGTGGGGCCTGAACTCAGGGCCTGGGCACTGTCCCTGAGCTTCTTTTGCTCAAGGCTAGCACTCTACCACTTGAGCCACAGCACGCTTTTTCTGTTTATGTGGTACTGGGAGGCAAGCACTCTACCACTGAGCCACAATCCCAGCTAATACTCGCAAGCCATTGATCAGAATGGAGTCTAGCAAACTTTTTACCTGCTAGCCTGGGATGGCGACCCCTATAGCTAGGATTATAGCCACTATAGGTTTTAATCACACCATCCAATATTACTTTACATATAAAGAATTAATTCCTAAGGTTCCAGGCCTTTGAAAAGTGTTATAGCCACATCCTGTCATTAGGCACAAATGCTATTATTTGTCCCTTATGTATTAGAGGCCACTGGGGGGAAATGGCGACAACGCCACCTGCAGGATTTTACTCTCCTCTACAGTAAATCACACCAATCATTCCTAGTCATTGTTTCTGCTGTGCTACTAAGTAAACTGCAAGCAAGAAGTAACTATCTCCACGATACACAGAAACGCTAGGTGAATAAACATTCAACTAAATCTGCTAACATCTCTCAGGTCACCCATTACAATTTTTTAATCTAGTAACTATAGTGCTCACACACTTTGAAAATAAACTTTTCTTGTTCAATTTTTCCTAGTCACTAAGTGCCACCAATAACTTGATCAACATAAAAGTTTTGGACCATCAGCTTTTTTTTGTTTTTTGGTCAGTCATAGGGCTTGAACTCTGGCCTGGGCGCTGTCCCTCAGCTCTTCAGCTCAAGGCTAGCGCTCTACCACTTGAGCCACAGCGCCACTTCTGGTTTACTGTAGGTGGTTATTGGAGATAAGAGTCTCACCAACTTTCCTGTCCAGGCTGGCTTCAAACCGTGATCCTCAAATTTTGGCCTCCTTAGTAGCTAGGATTCTAGGCATGAGCCACCAGTGCCTGGCAGACCATCAACATTTTGGGGACAGTTTTTTTCTACCTTATCTCTTAAGTTGAAGCCTAACTTGGGAGAAGAGGGGCAAAAATAGAAATTTCAGGGGCTGGGAAGATGGCTCAGTGGTAGAGCGCTTGCCTTGCATGCATGAGGCCCTGGGTTCGATTCTTAAGCACCATATAAACAAAAATAAAAAAGCTGGAAGTGGCGCTGTGGCTCAAGTGGTAGAGTGCTAGCCTTGAGCTGAAGAGCTGAGGGATAGCGCCCAGACCCAGAGTTCAGGCTCCATGAACGGACCCCCCAAAAAAAATAGAAATTTCAGAAATGTGCAATTACAGGCTTAATCTACATTTCCTGAGGGTCAGTCTCTTAATTGCCATTTTGTGAACAAGAACCTGTATGTGGGAGCAAAGATAGCTATCCCTACAGGGTGCTGTCACTCACCCTGGCTCTAACTGCAAGCCAAATCTGGCAGGTGACCTAAGGGCAGGGAAGGAAACGCAACAGCAATTACACATGGCCCACACATCCTAAAGCATTTACTGAGTGACCCTCTACAGAAAACCAGATCAGACCTGCTTCAGGTACTGTTTTAAAACACTTGTAATGCCTGATTTAAGTAAAAATTAAAGGTGGGAATCCTCGTATAACAGTTCCCATCAGGTCCAATTCCCTACACACACAACTCTAAACTCGACTCCAGCTAGAACATAGGGAAATCAGAAGAGTAGCGTAGACAGAATACAGGATAAATAATAACCATATGCTCACGCATGCACACACACACACACTCACACACACTCACACATAGAAGGCCTCAGAATATAAAAGAAACAAGCAGTCCAGCTGAAGGGAATCAAAACTAAAAAGGAAATGGCAGATGCCTTTCCATCTTTAGTGTAGACCCAAGTGCTTTGTGGGACAGCTGACGCTCTGGGAGGAAATGGGGTTTTACAGCTTTCATTAGCAGAGGTTACAATGCAAGGCAGCATCGCTGCTGTGGAAAGAGGAGGATCCCAGAAGACAGGTTCAGAGAGCAGAGGCCCAAATTCTGCACATAAACTCTGTAGATCTTTGAAACAAGGCAAGTAAGTAAAACAAAGCAATCATGGCCATGGATTAACAAAACAGTAACTAAAGATAAGCTGCCTGGGAGAAATGCACACTCTGTAGAGGCTGTTAAGGTGAAAGAGACTGGACACAGACCCCGTGAACTGCAAGCAGGATAAAACTGGCACGAACGCTGCCAGAGATTGTAGTACCTGAGACGATAAAGAGCAGTTTATTTTTTTAAAAAGTCATAACTGTTAAGGACAGTTTTAAATAAATGAAGCAAAAAATAAACAGCATTAAAAGGAAAAGAAATCTTAACTGGTGGAGATTTTAATCACTAGACAAAAGCATTAAGTTCAAGCCCCTAAGCTAATCAGTATGTCCAAGACCCTGGCTCCACAGCTACAGACACATTTTCCCCGCGTGTAGGTGCATTTACCATGGACACCAGGTGCTAGATGTTAGAACAAACCTCACTATACTTAAAGGAATATAATCACACAGAAGGGGCTGGAAATGTGGCTTAGCGGTAAGAGTGCTTGACTCACATGCATGGAGCCCTGGGTTTGATTGCTCATTACCACACAAACAAAGCCGGAAGTGATGTGGCTTAAGTGGTAGAGTGCTAACCTTGAGCAAAAGAAGTTCAGGGACAGTGTCTAGGCCCTGAGTTCAAGCCCCAGGACTGATAGGGAGTGCAGGGTGTGGCAGCTAAGTGCACGGTGGCTCTGGGAGATAAGAACTTTGTGCTTTCATAGTAATTTTTTTTCCCCTGCTGGTCCTCAGGCTTGGGTGCTGTCCCTGAACTTCTGTACTCAAAGCTAGTGCTCTACCATGTGAGCCACAGCTCTCCTTTCAGCTTTTTGGTGATTCATTGGAGGTAGGTGTCTCATGGCCTTACCTGCCCAGGCTGGCTTTGAACCATGATCCTCAGATCTCAGCCTCCTGAGTAATTGGGATGACAGGTGTGAGCTACTAATGACCAGCTTAGATTTATGCATTTCAATATATAAAATTTTCACTAAAACCAGAAATGGGCAGAAACAGGGCTGGTGTGTAGCTTAGTGGTAGATGAGCTTTCTATTGTGTTGATTGCAGCTCAGTGGAAGCGGTGTACCTGCAAGGCCGAGCAGTAAGTACTACCCCAGCCTGGGAGAGCCCTGGGTCTTCCACGAAGTCCTTCCTCCTTGGAGTATGTTTAAGTCCGACTGCTCACGCGGCAGCCTTTGGTAGGAGCAGGGTTTGAACCCACGGACACCTCCAGCCAAGCTGCGGCCGGGCCTCCGGCCCGCACAAGGGGTAGGGCCGACCCAGGTGGGGTGATAGGGTGGCGGTGGGAGCTCCGCTGCCCGTGTGTCTCAGCCCTCGCCCCCAGAAACTGCTCTAAGCAGACACCTTCTTTTTGCCAGTCCTGGGCCTTGAACTCAGGGCCGGGGCTCTTCCACCCCTTGAGCCATGGCGGCCCTCCGGCTTTTCTGTGTGTGGTGCTGAAGACTCGAACCCAGGGCTTCCAGCATGAATTGAGCGCTCTCCCACTGGGCCATCTTCCCAGCCCCAGCAAAGGCGCAGGCCCGGTCCCCCCCCAGAAAGCAAGGCCTCCACACGCCTCCTCGGAACGCCTCCATTTATTTCTTACAAAACTCCACCATGGACCCTTGTGCTGGGGGGGGGGGGGGGGCATCGGCGCGGGCGCCCTTCCTCCCCACGGACTCGAACCCGGCCAGGCCGGGCGGCCTCCAGTGTGGACCTACAGCAAGCGACACCGGCCAGCCAGAATGTGCCCCAAGAAACGCAAACACGGGACATCACGGTCTCGGGAGGACGGAAGTGGTTCGGGCCAGGGCGGACCCGAGCCTGCGGAGGGCTGGAAACGTTCTCAGCTCCACTTCCACAAGCGGCCGGGAACACAAGGCACAGGCCACGTCCCTGGCACGCGGCCTGTGTGACTGGCTTTCCCAGCTGCCACCGCGGCCCGGGCCACAGAAGTGGGGAGTTGGGGTGTGAGTGCCTGTGAAATCCCAAGACTGGCGTGAGCTCTCCTAGCAAATCACAGCCTCTCACAGTTCTAGCACATACCAAACCTACAGGGCACAGATGGAGGCTCAGAGGTGGGGAAAGGTGAATTTCACCCAAGTATTAATCTCAAGGCAGGTGCCTTGCTGCCAGGCCCCCGGCCAGCCGGGGGCATCCTCGGAGGAGGAGGCGCGCTTTGTCCCGCACCAGAGCTTGCTGGCCTGCAGACCACCCGCCTATGTCTGGAAGGGCAGCCTGAAAGTCTTCCCGTTGTCTCATCCGAGAGAAAACACTCCAGAAAGCCTGAGACCCACAGCACTGCCCGCTGCTGATGGGGGCAGCTTTACACCTTCCACAGTCTTTGCTTCCTACTCTCTCTCTCCAACAAGGGGGATAACAGGAGAGCAGGCGTGAGTTCTGGGATTGTCACTGCCCAATGAGAAATCTTCAAACCCACTGAACCTAGCAGAAGACTGCAGGGCTGATGGCCGGCTGCAGTGCAGGTCCTTCCCCAGCTTTTCTGTAGGAGGGAACCAGGTTACGATCACTGACTGGACCGAGGGCCAGCACCTCTCAACGCCCTTAAGAGGCCACACAGGCCCCTTTCTTGTTTCTGCACTCTCTACTCCCTGGGAGGATGGGAGATGGAAGAAGGCAGACTTCCTCGGTCACAATCCCTCCCCACTGAAATGCAGGACACACAGAGCCTGACTGGTCCCCTCCCTTGGCGAGAGAGGCAAAAATTTCAATTACTCACCCCCACCAAATATGCATGTATGTATGTGTGTGCGTGTGTGTGTGTTTGTGTGTGTTTACACACACATATATAAATAAGCCTTGGATGGCAGATCTGAAACTTCTTTTGAGATACTAGTTCTTTCTGACTTTAAACATCACGAAGCCGCTGTCCTGGCTATGAACCGTGTCCTCAGTGTACACTGCCAGTCAGTGCCCTGCGTGGGAGCCCCTCCTCCGCTGACCAGGGCGCCAAGGCCCAGTGTGGCTGACCAAGATAAAGGCAGCTATTTCCTTCCCACTATTCCTGCTGCCTCTCCCAGCAGAGGGTCTGGCCCACTGGCCCAGCAGATGTCCCCAAGGCCCTTCAAGGCCCAGGGTCCCTGGGAGCGTCACCCTCGCTCTGCCTGTCCTCCCCACAACTGTGACCCCTAGATGAACTTGAAGCACTTGGTGTTGTCGTGCGGCAGGCGCGTCTTGAAGAGCACGGAATCCACCCTGAACTGCGTGTACAGGAGGGGCATGTAGCCGTACACCTTGACAAAAAAGTTGATACACTTGTGCCGCTCGTAAAAGTGGGAATCATCGTGTGACAGGGCCTGGGGACATCCTGGGCACCGGAAAGTCCACCGTGACGTCACCTGGGGGCAGGAGTGACAGAGCAGAGGGTGAGAATCCCAGTGCTAACACTGTCCCCGCCCACAGCTTTGTCCGCCCAATGCCGCATCACTGTGAAGCGCGCCCGCCCACCCGCCCGCCTATGGGGAATCCTACCTTCAGCTATGAATAAAGCTTTAGTAAAGGCCTGTACCGAACAGCAAAACCTGCAAGTGTTTGGAATCATCCTCTCTAATTCTATTCCAGGAATGATCTTGGTTATACACCAAGACGTTGGTACTAAGTTATTTCACCTGTGCTTTTAATGGCAAAAACTGGAAAAATCACTCAATAGGAACTAGTCAAATAATTATAAAATACAACAGATATCATTTTATAAAGACATGTAAGAAAATTTTATCTAGGAGTTTTCAAATTATATGTAGAAGTTACAAACATGTTCTGCAAAAGAAACAACATATTTCTCCTTTTTATATTTCTCCCTATTTTAACCCTGTTATACGCTAAAATAAATCCTTGCTAAAAGTTTCCAAGACGACTATACTTAGATTGAGAAAGTGGTTATGGTCTAATCATTATTAGGAAAACTTCAAACAATTACAGAGCCATGTGGCAGAGCAGAGCTCTGAAAGCCCAGCTAGAGACTGGAAACCCCAGGGCCGGACGAGACGAGACACAGGCAGGGACAGAGGGCGCCTGGCAGACAGACGAGGAGGAGGGGCTTCGGCCCCCTTTTTCCAGTGAGTGCAACCACGTGCAGAATGTACTCAATGAGATCTTCACAGACATCAACAAAACAGTATGTATATGAGTTCCTCTGTGACCCGTGCACTGTATATGTTCAGAGACGTTCTGGGGTCCAGACTGCCAAATAAAAGGGCCAAGTGGGCCAAGGGTGTCACTCAACAAAACTAAGAAACCCTCAGTTACCAGGCTTAAAGGTCTGACAGTAAATAATATGGGTAACTGCTCAAAAACTGAAAGGCCCGGGCTGGGATGTAGCTCAGTGGCAAAGCGCTTGCCTAGCAAGTGCAACGTCCTGGGTTCGATCCCCAGTACCAAAAAAGAAAAGACCAAAAAAAAAAAATACAGTTAACAAAAAAAAAAACAAACAAAAACTGAAAGGCCCACTGGTGTGTTAGCTCATGCTTGTCATCCTAGCTACTCAGGAGGCTGAGATCTGAAGATTGCAGTTCAAAGCCAGCTGTGGCAGGAAAGGCTGTGAGACTCTTATCTCCAATAAACCACCAGAAAACCAGTGGTGCTGTGGCTCAAGTGGTAGAGCGCTAGCTTTGAGCTGAAGAGCTGAGGGACAGTGCCCAGGCCCAGAGTTCAAACCCCACAAAATATGAATTGTATACAGCACCCTAGCACCCTGGCACAAAGGGCACAGGCCGCTCCTTCCCTCCATGACTCCCTGGACTCAGGCTTCAGGCTAGCACAGCAGGAGGAAAGAACCTTAGAAAGAGCTAATCACGGCCCACTGCACACACCTATACTCTGAAGGGAATTTTTAGGCTAAACAGCATACACTCATAACTTAAATCATGTCTTCCATGGTGAACAATTTGGTAAGTAGCGAACACTGGTTCCATGCGATAAATCAGCACAAATATATTTCAGAGTCTGTGTGGTCACTCAGACCAGGCCAAACAAACCTTTCCCAACCGTGGCCCTTGGTTGCAATGTAACCCCGATCATAATTTTTCTATTAAGTCCTCACAAAAAAAGAATACTAAATATCAAGATGAAGGGAAAGATTAGTGACGGCCCTCACTGCAAAGCAGTGACTGACAGAGACACTACTTGGGTATTGTTCAAAAAGTCTTCCATGCTTTGGGATGCCCATATCCTCTCTGGCAACAATCATTCGCTGCATACAGTCTTAGCAACTGTAACTACTTTCTGACTGGAGGACATCTAAATTCCAGTTACAGGTGGGGAAAACAAAGATACAACATCTGTCCAGCCAGCTCCAAACTACTGAGTTTTACCCACCAGCCCCTGTAGTAACAACGCCTTTACTTCTACAACAGATCCTTTGAAGTAAGGAGGTATCCTGGCCTATTGTGGAGAAGAGCCGCTGAGGCTGAAGCTGGAACAGACTGCACTCCAGCAAAGCAAGGGAAGGGAACTACGTCTGCTCACACGCACAGCCATGTAGGAAGCAGGCCCTCACCTTGATGGGGGGCTTCCGTGTGATGTGGGAGACGAGGAAGTTCATGGCGATGTCCTCACAGTTGGTGTACTCATCTACCATATCTCGGATGGCCTGGGGCATCACATAAGAATACAAGTAGGCATAATACTGTCAGGGGAAGAAAAAAAATTAACATTATTTTGTTAGAGGCCCCAATTCTTTGGCTTTCAGCGGAAAAACTTCCCATGAATGTAGGCACTACATGAAAGGGGGTTCGGCTCGGGGTGAGGCCAGGAGTGGGAAGCACTGGCATTCAGGGAGCTGGGGGCCAGAAATGCTCAACATCTTGCAATGCAAATCTTCTAAATGAAGAATCAGCCAACTCCAACTGCCATGATTGCCACCTTTAAAATCCTTCATTTCATGTAATTTCCTTAGTATCTCAGCAATGTTGAAATCAATACAGAGCTTTCAAAACAAATCAGACACGGTGTCAGCTGAGCAGAATTCTACTGACAGTGGCAATAACAGATAAGCAAGGAGAGCTGGTGGCCTTCCCAGGCCTCAACAACCCACAGGACCATGGGACATCCAGTCCCTCGCTGTCTCACTGACAAGACTCTTGGTCTGACCCCATCTATCACTGCCACCAGCTACCCCTGCTCCAAGCCATCGCCCTGACCCGCCACCAGAAGAGCAGCGGTGTGGAATGAAGTACAGCTGGGCATATCTGTCACCCAGTGGCGTCTCATCTCACTCAGAGAAACAGCCAAACTTCTTCACGCACCTGAAATCCAGGCATGAAGACTACAAGCTCAAGACTAGCTCAGTCTATGTGCCAAGATCCTGTCTGAAAACTCTCATAATGCGGAGTGTTGTATGGCATCCAGTTCACACTTGGGAACAAATCTGCTTAATAAATGAGCTTGCTGTTACACAGAAGCATTATTAAGAATCCAGTTAATTAAAACTGAAATCAAGTTACACTCAAAATGAATGCAACAAATACCTGCAAACCTTCCTACGTGCTCAGCTCTGAAGGAGCTGCTTCCAGCAGCATCTGCTCAGACCTGGAGAACTCACCTGTCTATTGTCAGTCTCCCCTCTCAAGCTCTGATTGCTCTTTAAGAGTCAATGGTCAAGCCGGGCGCAGGTGGCTCATGCCTGTAATCCTAACTACTCAAGAGGCTGAGATCTGAGGATCAGAGTTCCAAACCAGCTTGGGCAGGAACGTCTGTGAGACTGATCTATTAACAACTAGAAAACTGGAAGTGAAGCTATGGCTCCAAGTGGTAGAGTGCTAGCCTTGAGCAATAAAAGCTCAGGGACAGCGCCTAGGCCCTGACTTCAAGGCCCAGAACTGAAAATAAAATAGATGTCAATGGTTAGACCCCTATATTAATAATATTAGTAGTAGTTGTAATAATAATAATGTCCTTAATGAAGCATAGTATAGTTTCTATTTGAAAATGCAGTAATTACAAAGGATTCCTCATCAGACAGGGTTCCCCAGCCAGCTGTGCATCCACCCATCTCCCCTAAGGTTGGAACATAAATACTAGAAAACAGATCAAAATGGGATTGTTTTTTGTTTTTTTTTGGTGGGTTATAGAACTTGAACTCTGGGTGCTGTCCCTGAGCTCTTCAGCTCAAGGCTAATGCTCTACCACTTGAGCCACAGTGCCACTTCCGGTTTTCTGGTGGTTAATTGGAGATAAGAGTCTCTCAGGCTTTTCTGCCCAGGCTGACTTTGAACCTCGATCCTTAAATCTGTCTCCTGAGCAGCTAGGATTACAGGTGTGAGCCATCAGTGCCTGGCTCACGCATTAGGTTTTTAAAACAAAAAGGCAGAAAAGCTGGGCACCAGTGGCTTAGGCCTATAATCATAGCTACTCAGGAGGCTGAGATCTGAGGATCTCAGTTCAAAGTCTGCCCAGGCAAGTAAGTCCTTGAAACTCTTATCTCCAGTGGAGCTGTGGCTCAAGTGATAGAGCACTAACCTTGAGCCATGAAGTTCAGGGACAGTGCCTAGGTCCTGACTTCAAGCCCCAGGACCAGCACACACACAAACACCTCAATGTTACATGGTTAGGCTAGTTCCCTAACAAAATGACTGGTGAAGTTGTAGTTGTGGTGGGGAGATGTGCAGGACACCACCACTGGAGGTGAACACCTGAGAAGGAAGGATGGGAGGAGCTGCAGGAGAGTTGGTGAGCCTTGGGGGAAGCTCAGACGAAGTGCCTGAGGGACACACAGGCGATTTCCTGAAAACGATGAGATACAAGTGCAAACCTCACAAAAGGCCAAGGAAGTTACCAGCTTGTAAGGTGTCTTCAAAAGTGTGAGGGAGCCAGGCGTGGTGGCTCACACCTGTCATCCTAGCTACTCAGGAGGCTGAGATCTGAGGATCGCAGTTTGAAGCCAGCCCAGGCAGGAAAGTCTGAGGCTCTTATCTGCAATAAGCTACTCAGAAAAGGCTGGAAGTGGTGTGTGGCTCAAGCGGTAGAGCAAAAGAAGCTCAGGAAAAGTGGCTGGGCCCAGAGTTCAAGACCCAGGACTGACACAAAAAAATAAAAAATAAAATAAATAAATAAATAAAAAAGGAATGTGAGGGAATGAGTATGCTAGGCAATGGCAGGGACGCGGGGACAAGAGGACATGCCTCATCTTCCCCAGAAGGAGGAACCTTTGATGGCTGGCAGGTGGCTGCCACAGAGACCTCCCATGGCCGTTAAGAGGTGAGTGTGTCAGGGTGGGCAGGAAAATGCTCTCTGTGCCTTCCTTGCTCAAAGCACAGACTTGGGGAAATGAGTCGCCATGCAGTTGATAGGAGCGCATGAAAGGGAAGCAGTGACCTCACAGGAAAGTCAGGTCTGTCAGGAGGAGGACAGGCAAGTGTTCTGAGACGTGGGCAGTGGAGAGAACTTGCTCTTCTGAGAAGAGTTTCTTCAGAGCCCAGTGGAAGACCTCAGAGGGAAAGTACAGGCTAGCAGCACTCAGTCGAGGAACGTAACCCAAGTCCATGAGGCATTTTAAATTTCCTGGTAGCCAGGAAATTAGAGCAAGCTAGAGGTACAGCTCAGTGGAAGAGTGTGTGGTCAGCAAGCTTGAGGACCTGCATTTGGTCACTAGCACCACCAGAAAATAATAAAAGCAGTAAAACATATTTCATTTACCCAATATCTCCAAAATGATTCCATTTCAACAGGTAATCAATATAAAACTGAGGATCACTCCTGTCGTCCAGAGTTTCAGAATCCGATGTGCACTTTGTAGCTTTAGCACAGTTCTGACCAGCCACGTATCAAGTGCTCAGCAGCCACTTTACAGAACAGACGCGCAGAGGATAGATGGGCATGAGCAAAAGTAGCTCACGGTGAGGAGAGGGGGGATGACAGGTCTGTGCCCTTTGCTATTTAATGAACATCAAAATGTGAGGCCAGGGAAGCAAGCTCAGTGCAGTTGGGCATGGGGGCCTGGGATGGGCAGGGCTCAGTCCAAGCCACATTCAGCCAGGGTGGCAATGCTGAGCATAGCAGCATGTGCCCGTCACTCCAGCTACATAAGAAGAACAAATAGGAGAATTGTGGGTGGTGGCCACACTGAGCTCATGGAAAGGATCTCCCAGGACTTCCATTACCAGTATGTTTGGTTTCATAAACGGAGAACCAATGCTTGGAAACAGAACTGGCTTTCTTCCTGCCCTGCCCACTGTATAGGCAGGAGGAGAGCTGTTGTGAGGACAGCATCTACCACCCAGAGGCTCACAGCTAAGTACCTGCTAGCGCAGGCGGCTTTGCATTACCTTGTGAAAGAAGGCAGCACCTGTCAGCACCATGGACAGCTCACAGGAGTAGTTGGCGTTGTAGAGCCAGGACTGGTGAGGGAGGTCCCATGCATGGTACCGGCCAGGGAAGCCCACAATTCGGTCACGTGCCTCTCTCCACACTCTTGAAAACACAAGTGCAACATACTTGATCCCAGCTTGGGGACTACTAGTGATGCTTACCATCACAGCCTTTGTCTGACATTCTCACTCAGATGAGGAGACTAAAAAAAGATCTACAGATGAACAGCCAATGAGAAGTCAGGTGGGGGAGTGAGGATGCACAGCCAAGACAATGCAGTCCCACTGCACGTTCCTTCTGACTCTCGGGGAGTTAGCTCCTATCGCTTTGGTTTTCTTTAGAGGCTACTCTGCCCCTCTCTTCTCAGCCCAGGGGCTTGTGGATGCTATGCCTGCAACTCCAGAGCAGCAAATAACCCTAGTCTAAACAGCCAAAGAATCTGATTTCCCTGACTCAGAAGGAAAACCCCACTATGAGAGTAAAGCACGCCCAGAGAGGATGAGAAAGGAGTCCTTCACTAATACTCAAAAGCCTGGACCAGCCCCAACCCATGGGAGCCCTTATGACCTCCGAGACGCCACCAGAAACTCATCTTACTGCCTAATCTAGGCTCAAGTTAGTTTTCTGCTACTTGCAAAGTGTCTTTTTTTTTTTCTTTTTCCAGTCCTGGCACTTAAACTCAGGACCTGGACACTGTCCCTGAGCTTCTTTTTGCTCAAGGCTAGCACTCTACCACTTGAACCACAGTACCACTTCTGGCTTTTTCTATATTTATGTGGTACTGAGTAATCAAACCCAGGGCTTTCATTCATGCAAGGCAATAACTGTACCATTCCCAGCCCTCAAAGTGTTTCTTGATTAAAACTCTTTCCCTCACCGAAACCCAAACATGATTTCATCATGGCGGAGGTGAGCATCATCATCGATAGACAAGATGGCCTCTGTCTCGATCTCATTCCAGGGCAAGAATCGATTGTTCAAACTGTTCTTCTCAGTGCGAACCACCTGTGACAAGGGGAAAAAAAAAAAACCACTGGGAATCAATGCTGCATTACACAAGGCAGATCCAAAATGTTTAACAGGCCAAAGAGACTATCAAGTTTAATGAATAATTTGGTATGATCAAGCATATGCCTTCCATGAATAAAAAGTGCCTTGCAATTCAAGAAATGCATAAGGATTTCACATTTTAAGCTTTACAGTTAAGTAATTTTCTTGTGAAAGAAATCAAAGCTGAGTGGTATTTTAGATGTGCAATAAACAGTCTTGGGAAATTAAAAATCATTTTCCCAAGAGGACACAAGGTGGCAGAGCAGATCTAAGATTCCAGGGCCTACCTCCAGAATCCCCAGCTTACTTAGAAATTGTAAAACCAAATTCAGAAATCCCTCGAGTTTAGGCCATTTCTGTTCTCCAACTTTAAGACCTTTTGGGAGGATATACAGGAAATCATCTCTTGAGTTTAGTCACTTCACTTTTACAACTCTCACTTACAGTGCTGACGCACACACAAAAGGTTTTTTAAAGATGCAACAACCCGGTATTGGGGTATAGCCTGAGTAGTGGGGCACCTGCCTAGTAATCGTGAGACCCCTAGTTCAAGCCCCAGTGCTACCAACAAACAAGAACACATCACAGCGCCAGACTCAGGGTGACCTGGAGGCTGGCAGCAGGGATGTGGCCCTGGGGCTGTCAGAATCACGACTGCAGTCCACAAGCGGCTGAGTCCGAACCTGCATTTGTCAGCATCCCCGGCAACTGCCACACATGGTAAATCCAGAGAAGCCCTGGTGCCAAGGGGAAACGTGTGACTCTCAAGTCCATCAGAGCCCTGTGGAAAAGAGCAGGCTCAGCCAGGTCACCACAGCACCATGCTGTTTGCAAAGACCAGTACTGTCAGCCACACCTGACATCCTATACAGCCCTAACTCTGAATCTGAAAATGAGGAGCAGGAAAAAAAACCTGGGAAGGTGGCTCAGTGGTAGAGTACTTGCCATGCATGCATGAGGCCCTGGGTTCGATTCCTCAGCACCACATAAACAAAAAAGAAAAAAGCCGGAAAGTGGCGCTGTGGCTCAAGTGGTAGAGCGCTCGCCTTGAGCTGAAGAGCTGAGGGACAGCGCCCAGGCCCAGAATTCAGGCCCCATGACCACCTGCGGGGGTAACTCACAGTCTGTCATCCTACTCAGGATGCTGAGATCTGAAGACGTTCAAAGCCAGTACAATTATCTTATCTCCAATTAACCACCAAAAAGCTGGATCTGCCCAGGCCCAGAGTTCAGGCCCCACGACCGGGCCCCCCCCCGCCCCCCAAAAAAAGAAAACCTTGAGGTCTAAAAACAAATGCAGTTTGGCCTAGACTTCACAATCAGTTTTCCAATTAAGTTTATTAAAGCCAATCAAATGGATATCAAGAGTCAGGGAAGGGAAAGAGAACTTTCTTCCAAAGTTTTGTTTTCAAAGCTGTTGTGCTTAATGGCTAAATCTCAGTAACCTAACCAATACTGGTTTGGGCACCAAAATCAGAACAAAAAGATTCAAACATTACTGAATGTAGACACACCGATCAGCATTAGCTTCTAGAAGTTTGCATGTTTTAGATTGAAACAGGCCAGTTTTAATTTTTAAGGAAAAAAAAAAATAAAAAGGTTGCTGAGGATTCTCATAACACTGCAGGTAAAATGGCACAAACTGGAGACCCAACTCTGGCTGAAAGAATGCACACAAAGTGCCCAGAACAGAGATGGAAAAACAATTCAAAAAGTGTTAGCAACAGGGTGTGTGGTTCACCCCTGTAATTCTGTTGTAAATATACTCTTCAAAAGTCACAGCAGCAGACATGAAGACAAAGAACTGTCTCTGCAAGGCACAAGGCACTGGAGAAGGGTGAGCCACCCGCTGAAAACCTGATCAGTACACGCAGCCGCAGGCTGCTCCCGGCCACCCTAACGCTAACGCAGCAGCCCTACCCCTCTGCTCCACGTGGCTGAGCTCAAGTCCACAATCTGCTCATGACTGGCTGGTTGGAAGAGGGTAAGAAGTACTTATATAATAAGGTGGCCATTAAAAGACTTTGAAATAAAATTAACAGTACACAAGTAATCTCAAAAACATACCCACACCCACTGCTGTTTCTTGACCCATCTGACATGCATCTTAATTCCACCTAGGAACAACTAAAGACAAAACCTTACATTTCAAAAACCTTTCCTTATCCCAAAGCAGCTCCTCCTTTCCATTCTTTTTTTTTTTTTTTGCCAGTCCTCAGGCTTGAACTCAGGGCCTAGGCACTGTCCCTGAGCTTCTTTTGTTCAAGGTTAGTGCTCTACCACTTGAGCCACAGCACCACTTCCAGCTTTTCTGGTTATGTCTGAGGAATCGAACCCAGGGCTTCACGCATGCTAGGCAAACACTCTACCACTGAGCCACATTCCCAACCCCTCTTTTCCATTCTTTACTAGCAGTTTAAACAACCCACTTTGATGCAAAAGACAGCTTTTCTCACAAATTCCAGCAAGTAGGAGGTGAAGGCAAGAGAACTGGCAAGTCAAGGCCAGCCTGAGCTATACGTGAGACCCTGTCTGAATAATAAAGCCTGGGGCTGGGAAGGTTGCTCAGTGGTAGAGTGCTTGCCTTGCATGAATGAGGCCTTGGGTTCGATTCCTCAGCACCACATAAGCAGAAAAGCTGGAAGTAGTGCTGTGGCTCAAGTGGTAGAGCACTAGCCTTGAGCTGAAGAGCTGAGGGACAGCGCCCAGGCCCAGAGTTCAGGCCCCACGACCACCTGCGGGGGTAACTCACAGTCTGTAATCCTACTCAGGATGCTGAGATCTGAAGACGTTCAAAGCCAGCCAGTACGATTATCTTATCTCCAATTAACCACCAAAAAGCTGGAAGCAAAGGTATGGCTCAAGTGGTAGAGCACTAGACTTGAAGGGGAAAAAAAACACCTCAAGGACAGCACCTGCAACCCTAGTTATTTGGGAGACTGAGAGCAGGAGGATAATTGAACAAGGCCAGCCTACCCAACCCATTTAAAAAGAAAAAAAGGAAGGGGAATGTATTGGCTCCCACAAGTCTAACTCATCTCAGCTATACTGGGAACGTGAATAGGAAGACCACTGTCTAACCTCTGCACAGTCTGGACCTGAAGAGGCTGGGTAATAAGCTTTTTCTAGGTGAACTGATTCAAGTAGAAATCACAATTTCAGGCAATTATCATCTGATTCATACAAGGACAAGATAAGAAATAAAACTCAGCAAAGTCTCCAAGGAGTAAGCCTTTATAATTGCCTCACAGACTAACGCCTTTTCAGCAGGAGCCCGAGAGCTGAAAGTTCACAATGCTAACTGCTCCAGAAAATGAAAAAAAGAGTTCCACAGAGGCAGCTTCCCATCCAGCTCTCTTTCCTTTTCCCTGATAGACGATCTGGCATGGCGCTCAAGCTTCCCAGCAGACTTCTTGTTCAACTCAAATCCCAAGGCTCTGAGAGAGGGTGAATGACTGCGCTGTTTATCAGTTTTCTTTTGGGGGCAAAATGGTGTATTCAGGCTTCCTGAGACCTTCCAGGCCCCTCAGGACATGGGGTGCACTCATGTGAATCACCAGTACCCACTGCCTCTGCCCTGGTCCAGTTCCATCCCCCCGCAACCCCAACTATTTAACTGTGTCTGCTCTTCCCTCACAGTCCTGCACAACGTCCCAACACACGAAGGATAAAGCCCAGTCTCCACCTCTGTCTTCTTGGCTGTGCACACAGTGCCCTGACCACCTCCTTCCAAACTCTCTCTGCAACAACAGCCCGCCCAGGTGCACGGTGTTCCTGCACAGCCCATCCTCATCTCATTCAACTGCTGCTCAGATGTCACCTCTTCGAGAGCCTTTTGCTACTAGACCCCATGTAAATCAGCTGTGCCCTTTGTGGAGAAGGGATGAAAAGCACAGCCCCTGGGTCAGGCTGTCAGAAACTGTCCTAGAACAAGTATGCAGTGTGAAGAGCAACACTGTTTTGAGTCAGTTCTGCTGTCCTGTTAATAACTGAAGGTGCTATTTCGCTAAAAGCGCTGGTCTTACAACATACGAGGGCAAGCCGGGCGCCAGTGGTGTATGCCTGTAATCCTACCTACTCAGGAGGCTGAGATCTGAGGATGGTGGCTCAAAGCCAGCCTGAAAACCAGAAGTGGCACTGCAGTTCTAAGTGGTAGAGCACTAGACTTGAGAAAAAGAACTCAGGGACAGTACCCAGGCCTAGAGTTCAAGCCCCACAACCAACAAAAAGTGTGAATGTGCGGGGAGGGGGGGGGGTGATAGAGGGGGGTGGAAGGTAAGAGTCCCATTCTACAGAACACTTGAAGGCAAAGACAGGAAGAAGCAGAGTAAACAGGTCAGAATAATTTTTAGTGGGACTAATGTCATAAAGGGATTATCTGGAGGTTTCTGCTTCTAGGAGTTTAGTAAGCTCTAACCAAATTCAACCCTGCTTCATAAATGAACACCACAGCTCTGGACAAAAATCCTAATACAGCAATTTCCTGAAGAGATTAAAGAATGAATAGAAGAAAATGATGGAAGGAAGCTACAATATAGAGAGGGAGCTGCTGGTATAGGAGGGTTAAGTGCTGCTCTTCCCCCTGAGAGTAGGCCAGAGTCGGCCCTGGAGGACAGCTGGAGATGCATACAAAACCCACAGGCTTTCTGGCCTGAAAATAAGAGGAAAGAGTCTGGGGCAGGCAGAGAGCAGAGCTCCGAGTGCTGTGAAAAAAACCTCCTGGTGTCTGGCCCTCCCTTCCCCTGGCCATGCTGGGTCAGTACAAAGGAACTCAGCTAACACTGGAGTAACTATTCGAGAGAGAATTTTCAGTTTGTGTCCAACCAAATCCACTGCCTGCTAATATAAAAACATGTACACTTTTCAGAGTAAAAATCAAGGAAAACCATGCCAAGGCAAATCATAAACTACTGAAAACCAACGGTAAAGACTAGACAGCATATTCCTTAACACAGTAATATCTTCTTTCTGACTTCATCAGATACCTTTGTGGTTCTGGTCCACAGCCAGTGAGCCTCACTGTTTACATACAGATGAGAGACAGGGAAAGAGCGGCAAGCCATCACCCCACAGCTCTCCACTGAGATCCCACGCCAATCAGGGAGAGAGCCACACTTCTCACATCTCCTGACAAGTCTCCTTGCCCAACCAGTCCCACTGGATTGGGCTGAACCTGAGTCCAAGCACAGCAGCAATTCAGGCCATTTACTCTAAGGCAAGCCCCTTTGTTACATAAATAATCTTAAGGAAACAATGAGGAATTGTAACATGTAAGGTACCCATAAGACAATCCTTCTCCACCTAAATACATAGAACCTGACAGGTTCCAAGCCCCAGGTATCTAGCATTATGCCTACTGCCCAGCTATAATGCTCTTAGAACCTGAGCATAAAAGAAGCACAAACTGCCAGTACTCTCTGAAATAACATAAAGGCTCCTAAATTGATTCATTTAGCCAGTATGCTGACTTCAAATCATGTTCCCTAAAGGACTGGACTCTACTAGACGGTCCGGGAACCATCTGGTTGGTAATTATATAAAAACCTGTTAATCATAACATAATGAGTAAGTTACGTCTGCTTATAGACATAATCATGGCATTTTCCGACAGGAGAGTGGCCTGTTTCTCTGGTTTGGATCTCTGCCTACTCCAAGAGGTCACCAATTTCAACTGTTCCCTAAACACTAGTCTCCCTTAAACAGAGAGCAAAGCATTCACAGAACAGAGTGAAACCTTCCAGCTGGAAACCATTTTGTCTTTTAAATAACTGGAAAAAGATTAAACTCCTAATATGGAAAGCTATGCAGAATAACTCCCTATTGTTTGTGGAATTTCTTTTTTGTTCCCCAGTCCTAGGGCTTGAACTCAGGGCCTGGGTTCAAGGCTAGCACTGTACCACTTGAGCCACAGCGCCACTTCCTGCTTTTTCTGTTTGTGCAGTATTGATTCAGTAAAAATCAAACCAGGGGCTTTATGCATGCTTGGCAAGCACTCTACCACTAAGCCACATTCTCAGCCCTGTTTCTGGAATGTCTAACAGGTATTTTTGTTATTGCAGTGGACTGATCATCAGTCAGAAGAACACTTATTTCTCTCCAGAGTTAATTAAAGAAACAATTCTTTCAGGCCATTCTGTGATGCATTTCAGCCAGTGTTCAGAAGGTGGCACAAACTCAGGAAAAATGGAAAGCAAAGGCACTGACTGCATGAATCCATGTACCTTCCACAAAGCAAGCATTCCTGAAAAAAAAATCACACTCAAAGTTGTACGTGAGAAAGGAAGTGCAAGTTACTCAAGGAAAAGCCTCTAGGAGCGATCTCTCTATTTATAGAAATTTTATTAATATGTAAGATAAACTGAGATTAAAAGCTCTCAAAACCCTTCAGTATTGAAAAGCCTTAAGTGATGAATTCTACTATATGAGTTGCTAAAATATGATTTAGTTAGAAAGACTACTAATGTATATAATGTGTGCAATGACAGCTACAGGTCAAAGAGACCCTGAGTGCCGGACAATCCAAGCCTGTACCACTGAGGTCAGTTACCGCTGTCCGTAACACAGCTGAGGTTGACACTGTCTCCTCTGAAAGTAAGGATAAGAAGGAACCAAACAATCCTCCTTGAGCTCCTTTCTAGTGTCCTACACATATTATCTCTACACTGAAGTCAAAGAAGCTAATTAACTTACCTAAGCTGGAAAAATGACTGATCCCAGGTTCGTATCACTCTAAAACACTTTTTCTATTACACTATGCAACTACTGCTTAGAAAATACTTCAAATTACTTCTCCAAAGGAATAACTTTTTAGACAATTGGACTAGACCAACATCCGTTTCCAGACAAATCATACCTAAAAGCTGATTTTTACCAGGTACCAGTGGCTCATACCTGTAATCCTAGCTACTCAGAGGAGGCTGAGATCTGAGGATCAGTTTGAAGCCAGCCCTGGCAGGAGAGCCTTTGAGACTCTTATCTTCAACTAGCCACCAAAGAGCCAGAAGTAGAGCTGTGGACTCAAGTGGTAAGTGGTAGAGCACTAGCCTTGAGCATAAAAGCTCATGGACAGCTCCAGGACCTGAGTTCAATCCCCAGCACCAGCAAAAAAAAAAAAAAAAAAAAGGGAGTGGGGGGAGACTATTTTCTTAAGCATCATTCTATTAACTACACATGGCCCGTCAGACCATTGGTCATCCTTCAAAAAGTACCTTTCTCTACAACTACTTTGCACTTTAAGACCTGCTGTAAGCCCTCACATTTCAGAGATATGGTGTACATGAATCTTCTGGATTGCAAGCAGACCGACAAAGCCCTTGGGCATTGTGCCCCATCCTCCATAGTTACCCAGTACTTTTCCTATAACATACAGCATCTGACTATGAGAAATGGGAGTAAACATGAAAAAGAACCTAGGCTGGGAAAGTAGCTTAGCGGTAAAGTGCTTGCCTAACATGCACGAGCCCTGGGTTAGATTCCTTAGTACCACATAAACAAAAAGTAAATAAATAAATGAAGTTTTACAAAAAGAAAAAGAAGGGCTGGGAAGGTGGCTCTGTGGTAGAGTGCTTGCCTTGCATGCCTGAGGCCCTGGGTTCGATTCTTCAGCACCACCTAAGCAGAAAAAGTTGGAAGTGGCGCTGTGGCTCAAGTGGTAGAGGGCTAACCTTGAGCTGAAGAGCAGAGGGACAGTGCCCAGGCCCAGAGTTCAGGCCCACAACCGACAACACCCCCCCCAAAAAAAACATAACAAAAGAAAAAGAACCTAGAAGACACACAGAATAGGAGGCTCAGGACTTTCAACTCCTAAATATCAAACCCAAGGCCTCTACAGTATCCTAGAAAATGCCAAGTACTCTTAGCTCCTTTAGGAGTGACTAACACCGAAGTGAAGCTCCTGCAATCAGACACAGGAGCTCAGCTTCTCCGTTGCTCATTGTGACCTTGGGAAAATGAACTCATCGCTCTTAAGCTTCAGATCCCACGGACCTAGGATGAACTACATATGTCACATGATACCAATTATTGTGGCTAGATCCTCAGCTCTTCCTCAGTGGGAAGAAGCCTTCTCTTCCCTGTTACCATTGCCCACATGGAGGCTGCCTCTGGGACAACTGTGATGGCTGCAAACCTCTGCCTATCCACTTTGGAGAGGCTTAGGGAGATTTAGAAAGCAAACAGCAGGCAGTGATACATCTGACCAGCTCTGAAAATTCAGCATGTGGAGTTTCATAGGGAAAGAAACCGGTACAGGTTTAAAAACAAAACAAAGGGCTGGGAAGGTGGCTCAGTGGTAGAGTGCTTGCCTTGTATGCCTGAGGCCCTGAATTTGATTCCTCAGCACCACATAAGCAAAAAGAAAAAAGCCAGAAGTGGCGCTGTGGCTCAAGTGGGTAGAGCGCTAGCCTTGAGCTGAAGAGCTTGAGGGACAGCGCCCAGGCCCAGAGTTCAGGCCCCACAACAGGACCCCCCCAAAAAAAATTAAAAATAAATAAATAAAATAAAATAAAAAATAAAAAACAAAACAAAGGGCTGGGAAGGTGGCTCAGTGGTAGAGCGCTTGCCTTGCATGC